CATCCCGTGAATGAATGAAAAAAAGAGCAGCACTATACTATTTTCTGTACTGGGTCATAGAGTCATTGAGCTGTACAGCACAGAAACAGACCCTTCGGTCCAAATTGTCCATGCCAACTAGATATCCTATAAAGATCTAGTCCCATTTGCCAACATCTGGCCCATCTAAACCCTTCCTATTCAAATATCCATCCAGATGCCTTTTAAATGTTGTAACTGTACCAGCATCCAACACTTCCTCGAGCAGCTCATTCCAAACACACCACCCTCTGCGTGAAAAGGTTGCCCCTTAGGTCCCTTTTATATCTTTCCACTTTCAACTTAATTCTATGCCCTCTAGTTGTAGACTTGCTCGCCGAGCTGGTGTGTTTGATTGCAGACGTTTCATCCCCCTGCTAGGTAACATTGTCAGTGCGCTCCAGTGAAGCATTGGTGTTCTGTCCCGCTTGTTATTTATATGGTTCGGTTTGCTGGGGTGGTTGGTATCACTTCTGGTTCTGTTTTTCAGTGGTTTTTATATCGGGTCCACTTCAATGTGTTTGTTGATGGAGTTCCGGTTGGAATGCCAAGCCTCCAGGAATTCCTTGGCATGTCTCTGTTTGGCTTGGGCTGTTATGTCCCAGCTAAATTTGTGTCCCTCTTTGTCCATGTGTAGTGAGACCAATGAGAATTTGTCGTGTCTCTTGGTAGCTAATTAGTGTTCGTGTATCTGTATTGTCAGTTTTCTTCCAGTTTGGCCTACGTAGTGTTTCTTACAGTCCTTGCACGGTGTTCTATACATTACGTTAGTTTTATAGGCTGTGGGTATGGGATCCTTTATGTTTGTCAGTAGCTGTCGCAGGGTAGTTGTTGGTTTGTGGGCTACTCTGATACCTAGGGGTCTAAGTAGTCTTGTGGTCATCTCTGATATGTCCCTGATGTACGGTAGGGTGATTAGTGAGTCTGGCCGTGTTGTAACTTCTTGATGTGGTCTGTCTTGGAGGTAATGGCAGATTGTGCTTTTTGGGTATCCATTCCTTTTAAAAAGTCCGTATAAGTGCTCCTGTTCTGCTTTGCACAATTCTGGGTTGCTGCAGTGTGTTGTAGCCCATTTGAATGATGTCTTAATGCAGCTCCGTTTATGGGTGGTGGGGTGGTTGTTGGAGTACTTAAGTATCTGGTCCATTTGTGTGATCTTCCTGGATACTCTAGTCTGGAGTTCCCCCTTGTTCTTAAGTTCTACCATTGTGTCCTGGAAGGCTAGTCGGTTGTTGTTCTCTTCTTCGTTTGTGAATTTTATCCCAGTGAGGATGTTGTTTATGTGTCAGTGTGTTTCTTCTAGTTTTATGCATTTGATCATCACAAAGGTGTCATCTACATATCGGCCCCAAAGTTTGGGTTGTATAGTGGGGAGCGCTGTCAGTTCTAACCTTTGCATTACTGCTTCTGCAATCAGTCCTGATGTTGGGGATCCCATTGGTGTTCCGTTGATTTATTTAAATATTCAGGCATTGAAGGTGAAATGGGTTGTGAGGCATGGATCCAGCAGTTTCAGGATGCTCCCCTGTTAATGCTGTTGGTGTCATGGGTGCCTGCCTTCCTGATTCACCCAGTGTGGCAATTGTGTCTTTGTCTAGGTCGATGTTTGTGGATGTAAATAGTGCTGTTACGTCAAAGGACATCATTATCTCGTCCTCTTCTATTCTGGTGCCCTTGATGATGTTGAGGAATTCTTGGGAGGAGTGGATGGAGTGGGTAGTGTTGTCCACTAAGTATTTCAGTTTCCGTTGTAGTTCTCTGGCAAGTCAATATGTTGGCGTGCCTGGTAGTGAGACAATGGGTCTGAGAGGGACCCCTGGCTTGTGTACCGTGGGGAGTCCATAGAAGCGGGGTGTGTTGGATTCCTCTGGCTTCATTTTTTGGTAGGCTGTCTTGCTGATGTCTCCTGACTTGTGTCATTTCTTCAGGGTTGTTTTGATCCGGTTCTCTAACTGTGGCATTAGGTCTATCACCATCTATTGGTAGGTGTCGGTATCTGTTAATAGTGCATTAGCTATCTCGATGTATTGGGCTCTGTTAAGGATTACTGTCCTGTGTCCTTTGTCTGTCACTAAGATTACAGTGTCTTTCCACGGCTTTCTTCTCTTCTGTGTTGAATGTGTTCCACTTACCTTTTCTGCTCAGTGATGGGACTATCCTCTGTCTGATGGTCTGTTGTATTTCCTCCTTGAGTCTGTTGCTCTTTAGTGTTGATTCCAGTGCAGCCAGGAAGTCAGTCTTTTTGGCATCTCTGTAGTTATTATTCAGTCTGTGTACTAGGACAAACTTCTCAGTGTCTGCAAGTGGTCGGTCCGAGATGTTCTTGATCCGTGTTGTCCATGTCATTGTTGTGGGTGAGTTTGGATAGTTTTTCTTATAGAGCTAGTCTTTTCTTTGTTCTGGTCTTTCGTCGTTGTATGCTGATGACTTGTTCCAGTGTGGCTGTCCATTCATGGTTGGTTACGTTCGTATATAAAGTGTTTTGGCGGGCAATTTCCCGCTCATATTTGTGGAGGCGGTTGTGGGCATCATTGATCATAACCCTTATCATTCTGCAGTCGTTCTGTTCAGCTGTCCTAGTGCCTGTGGATTGTTAATAGGTGGTTTATATTCTGGGGGTCACCCATTGACCAGGACTCAACTGGACTGGCTGCATAAACACAGTAGCTACAAGAGCAGGTTAGAGAATATCCCTCAATGAACCACTTCAAAACCATAGTAGGTTGCAACCACACCACAGTCAATGACATACAATGTGGACTTGGAGCAACAAATTTGTACACTGCAAGATCCCATAAGTGTTAAGACACATTACAACACAGCTCCACTTTGGAAGAAGGCTATTATCCCAGATCCTGTGGCCCAGTGGTAGGAGTACTGCTGGTCTTCCAAAGACCTAATATCAGGTATTTTTAAAATGGTCATTGAGGGATAATTGTTGTCAAGAGTATCCCTCTTCTTCCAACCTATCGTCCTGTCAGTGGTTAGATGAAGTTCTTTATTCCCACCTTCATGATTCATTAGTGGATGGTCCATGGTCTCTGTAGGAGATCACAGCCATGCAGAAGAGCATTAGAGTCTATGGTGAGAAGGTAGTTTCTGCTCAACATTTCTCTTGTCATGGAGCCTTTGCTGTTTCTTTTCAGGTTTCTAGGATTAACCATACAGTGTTGGTGTGAAGGAAGGTGTAAGGCTGGTGGGCTGACGTTGAATAAGGGCAGAATCTGCCTGGTGCAATGATCCTCCTGATATGGGGTCAGGGGCTAGGAGAACCAAACTGACCAAAGAGAACCCCTTGATGGTGCACATGGTTGAGCTGAATTGCACATCAATATGTTTTAGAATGGGCAGATTAGATGAGGTTGTAGTCATGCTCGCCTAGCCGGTGGGGTTTGGTTGCAAGTGTTTCGTCACCCTGCTAGGTAACACCGTCAGTGCACCTCCAGTGAAGCATCGGTGTTCTGTCCCGCTTGTTATTTATATGCCTTGGTTTGCTGGGGTGTTTGGTACCACTTCTGGTTCTTTTTCTCAGTGGTTTGTACACAGGGTCTAAGTCAATGAGTTTGTTGGTGAAGTTCCGATAAGAATACTTGGTCTCCAGGAATTCCCTGGCATGTCTCTGTTTGGCTTGTGCAGTTATGGATGTGTTGTCCCAGTTGAATTTGTGTCCCTCATTGTCCGTGTGTAGTGAGACAAGTGAGAATTGGTCATGTCTCTTGGTGGCTAGTTGGTGTTTATGTATCCATATTGTCAGTTTTCTTCCAGTTTGGCCTACGTAGTGTTTTTCACAGTCCTTGCATGGTATTTTGTTTTTTACACTGATTTTGCTGATTTTGGGTATGGGATCCTTTACGTTTGTCAGTAGCTGTCATAGGGTGGTTGTTGATTTGTGGGCTACTCTGATACCTAGGGATCTGAGTAGTCTTGTGGTCATCTCCGAAATGTCCTTGATATACGGTAGGATGATTAGTGAGTCTGGCCGTGTTGTGTCTTCCAGTTGTGGTCTATCTCAGAGGTAACGGTGGATTGTGCTTATTGGGTATCCATTACTTTCGAAGACTCCGTATGGCTGCTCCTGTTCTGCTTTGGGCAAATTAGAACTGTACTGGAGAGATCAGAGGTCCTTTGGGTCAGGTCTCTGATATGGTATTGGATAGTTTACTCAGGAGGGTGATGTGGGTTTTAATTGTTTTTTCTTCAGTCTTGGTGACTAGTTGTCTGTGCATGAAAGTTCTGTTTTGGGTAAAGCCTGGATAATCAGGGCAGAGATAATGGCCTTCCAGGCTGTCTTCGAGTTCCCTCTTTGCTCTGACAATGTGATGATGGTGTCTGCTGGAGTCTGTCTCATCGTTGTTTGGTTTTAGATACCACGTGTTACAGTGTGTTGGTCGGCTTCGCAAGATCAAACTGCTGGTGCCACCCAGTGATTCCCAGCATGGGGGGATATTGCTGACAGAGCTGATGGCACACAGTGAAACCCGGAGATGTGGATCGCCTGTCTGTGGAGGACGAAAACACCGATGTTGGGTGAACTCACTGAAATTCCAGAGGACCATGGTGGAAGGCCATTCGGCCCCTAAACTACTACTAGCTGCATGGGTCCAGATCACGGATACAGCAATTTGATTGGCTGAAAGGAGTGACATCAGCAAAACTTGTTGTCAAGGCTTTGACCAATCATGGCTCGAGTCCCTCACCCAATGGGAACTGACTGTAAATGGGATGCGACCGTCCAGTTCTTTGTACTTGATAGGTCTGTCCCTCCATCAATCATAATTATGGGCACTATTATTGGCCAGTCCACAGACTCGCGGAGGCCCCGGTTCCGATTGGACAATGTCCAGCCGTCGCGTTAATGTTATAGCCGATTGGCTGTAGGCTCTGTCAATCAGGACAGACCTGTTTCCCGATTGGCTGATCACTAGGGTTGGGTGAATCCTGCCCGGTGAGTGGTCGGTTCCGGGTTGTGTGGGCGGGACTATGCCAGCGTTGGCCTCACCTCTCATGGCGGAAGGCAGCGGCTGGGGACCGGGTCGGCGGTGACGACGCAATGGACCGCAGTTCGACTCGACCCGTGGTGTCGCGGGTCTATTCGCAGCGTAATCTGACGGTGGTCAGTAGGGCCCCGGGCATAAAGACAGCCCCCTTCGTCCAGCAGGTAATACCAGGGGAAGCCGCAAAGTACTGGGCCCCCGGGGGTGGGGAGAACACTTGAGACCTCGCCACCAACCCGGGTTTAAGGGGGTACACAGAGCACCCTAAGGTGGGGGGTTGGTGGGAAACGGTAAAAGGTTCTCAAGATTGAGCCCAACATTAAAATTACTCTTTAAGCGGGAGGGCATGGTCTATTAATAGTGCACAACTTTAAATAAATATCAGTGTCCTCGCTTTAAGGGGGTGGGCATGTCAATTTGTGGTGCACAACTTCAAATAAATTTGCAAATCCCTGCTAAGTATGTGGTGGTGGTGGTATCATAAAGATCTATGGCACAGAAAAAGGGCCCTTCAGCCTATTGAATCTGCACAAATCAAAATCCACCACCTAACTATTCTAATCCCATTTATCAGCACTTGGCCTACAACCTTGAATGCCTTGGTGTTGCCAATGCTGGGGAAATGGAAGGAGACAATCATGGCGAAAGTTTAGATATTAAGTGCTAAATATTAGCACCCTCCCTTTTCAAGACCACATTAGGCTGACTGGTGCAGAAAATTGTGTGAAATATCATTATTCTGGCTTTCAGAAGAGAAACCATTAATTGTTGTCCAATGTTTCTTTGAACACTGGTCTTTTCATTAGTTCAAACCTCAACGTAGTCATGAATGGCACAGAACAATAGGCTCCAGAAATATCCCCATCCTCAACGATGTAGGAGTCCAGCACATCAGTGCAAAAGGAAAGGCTGAAGCAGTTGTAAACATTTTCTTTAGCCAGAAGTGCTGAGTGGATGGTCCATCTCAGCCTCCTCTAGAGGTCCCTAGCATTACAGATACCACTCTTCAGTTAATTCAGTTCACTCTACGTGATACCAAGAAAAAGGTTGGAGGCACCGGAAAGGCTATTGGCCCTGACAACATTCTGGCAATAGTACAGAAGACTTGTGTCATAGAGTTGTAGAGCTACAGCACAGAAACAGACCCTTTGGTCCAACTCATCAGCGCTGACCAAGTATCCTAAACTATCTAGTTCCTTTTGCTAGCATTTGGCCCATTTTCCTCTCAAACCCTTGCTCTTCCTTGGCTGGTCACCCTATCCATGCCTCTCATGACCTTATAAACCTCTAAGGTCACTCTTCAGCCTCCGATGCCCCAGGGGAAAAAGCCCCAGCCTAATCAGCCTCAGAACTTGTTGCTCCCTGGCCAGGCTCTTTTACTACAGTTACAATACTGGAACCTACCCAACAATATAAAAAATTACCCAGGCAGGTCCTGTACACAAACAGCAGGACAAATCCAACTTGGCCAATTACCACTCCAACAATCTAATCTTGAACTGAAAAGAAATATTGGAAATTACAGCAGGTCTGGCAGCATCTGTGGAGAGAGAGCAAGCTAACGTTTTGAGTCTAGGTGACTCTTCATCAGAGCTGCGATTCTTGATCATTAGAAAAGTGATGGAAGATGTCATCTACAGTGCTATTACAGCCTTGGTTCAAAAATGGATAAAAGAGCTGCACTTCAGAGATGAGGTGAGAGTGATGGTACTGGGTATTAAGGTCATATTTGACTGAGTGTAGCATCAAGGAGCAAAAGTGGGATCAGTGGGAATTGGGGAAAACTCTGCTGCTGGCTAGTCATACCTGGCACTAAGGAAAATAGTTGTCAGTCATTTCTGCTCCAGAATGTCACTGCAGGAGCTCCTCAGGAGAGTATCCTAGACTCGTCCATCTTCAGCTGCTTCATCAATGACCTTCCCTCCATCATAAGGTCAGAAGTGGAGATGTTTGCTGATGACTGCGTAATGTTCAGCACCGTTCACGACTCCTCAGATATTGAAGCAGTCCATGTTCAAATGCAACAAGACCTGGTCAATATCCAAGTTTGGGATGACAAAGTACATTCATGTTGCTCAAGCCAGACCCTGTCCATCTCAACAAAGACATAAAATGCACAACACCTATAATTATCGCTCCCAAGGTTCACACCAGACTGATCTGGAAATATGGCATTATAGGTGCACACATTGTTCAACGTGACAGGGCACGCTGAGAAAGTTGTTACAAAAATGCACTGGATTCTGGAACTTTTCAGTAGAGGTAGAAAGGGCAAAGGATGATGGTAATCTCCCATTGTAATATATATGATTTGGATGAAAATATAGGTGGTCTGATTAGTAAGACAGCACAAAAATTGGTGGAGTTGTGGATAGTGAGGAAGGTATTAAAGGATGCAGCCGGGTATAAATTAGAAAGTTGGACAGAGAGAGTTTAATCTGGACAAGTATGAGGTGATGCATTTTGGGAGGTCAGTTGCAAGAACAAAGTATACAGTAAATGGCAGGACCCTTAGGAACATTGAAATATGGAGGGATCGTGGGGTGCAACTTCCTGAAAGTGGTGACACAAGCAGATAAAAGTGGTAAAGGCCATGTGTGGTAAAGGCAGTGTATGGCAGGCTTGTATTCATTGGGACACTGAGTATGAATGAACATTGGCAAATCATGTTGCAGCTATGTAAAACTTAGCCACATTTGGAGTATTGCGTGCAGTTCTGGTTGCCACACTATAGGATTTGGAGATGGTGCAAACGAGATTTACCAGGATGTTGGAGTGTATCCGCTGTAAGGAGAGGTTGGACAAACTTGGATTGTTTTCGCTAGAGCATTGGAGGCTGAGGATGACCTGATAGAAGTACTGTATATAAAATTTTAAGAGGCATAGATAGGGTGGATTGTCAGAATCCTCTTCCCAGGGTGAAAAGGTGAAATACAAGGAGGCATAGGTTTGACGTGAGAGGGGAAAATTTAAAGAAATGTGCAAGGCAAGGTTTTTTTTATACAAAGGGTGGTAGGTGCCTTAAACATGCTGCCAGAGGAGATGGTAGAAGCAGATATGATAGCGAGGTTTAAGAGGCATGTAGACTGACACTTGAACAGGCAGGGAGCAGAGGCATATGGACCATGTGTATGCAGATAGGATTGATTTAGAACAGCATTATGGTTGACACAGATATGGTGGGCCAAAGGACCTGTTCCTTTGCTGGACTGTTCTATGTTCTAACCCCAGTGAGAGGTGAATAGGTCTCTGACTAAGCAGCAGAAAATTTCAGCTCATTACCACTATGAGTTTTAAAACAATCCTTCGTTCCTCAGTCCCTTCTTGCTCTTGCACTCCTGACTGTTGGGACCTGCCTTACTCTTGTAGAAATCTCCCCTCCATCTCCTTTCATCTGAGAACAACCTCAGGCTTCTTCATCCTAAACCTGAAGTGAAAATTGCTCATCCCTGGAAACATTGTTACATTTCCTCAAATAGGGAGGCAATGGCGTAGTGGTATTATTGGTGGACTGTTAATCCAGAGACCCGGATAGTGTTCTCGGGACCTGGGTTCAAATCCTGCCATGGCAGATGGTGGAATTTGAATTCAATAAATATCTGGAATTAACAATCTAATGATGACCGTGAATCCATTGTCGGTTGTTGGAAAAACCCAGCTGGTTCACTAATATCCTTTAGGGAAGGAAACTGCCATCCTTACCTGGTCTGGCCTACATGTGACTCCAGACCCACAGCAATGTGGTTGACTCTGAACTGCCTTCTGGGCAATTAGGGATGGGCAATAAATACTGCCTAGCCAGGGACATCCTCATCCCGTGAATGAATAAAGAAAGCAAAAATACCATCTTGAGGACTGTCACATCCTCCCTGAGAGTTGGTGACAGGACTCAGAATCATCTTGTTGTGACCTAACTGAAGCTTTATAAGGACTCAGCATCACGTGCCTGCTTTTGGACTCAGAGCCTGCATTCACTCCTCCTCTGTCCTGGTAATTATGTCTATTCAGGGGTTGGGTAAGCTCTACCAGTGACTGTCCCCTCTCTCTCATTGCAGGCCAGGGCATTATGTCCTGGAATTAATAACCAGCGGTACTGGTGTGAGACAGGCCACTGCTGTGGGGAGACCGGCTGCTGCACGTACTTTTATGAGCTGTGGTGTAAGTAAAGTGGCTGGGCCAGGTATTGGTGAAATACCATTGAATTGGGCATGGGTTAGATCTGCACAGTACATTGTGACAGGAGACCCTAAGGTGCAGAGGAAGGTGGGTGGCTGGGTAGGGGAGGGGAAAGAAGGTGGCTGACTGCTTCTGGCATAGGAAGACAGCCAGGGGGATGGCAGGGTCCAGGGTGGGGCATTGTTTGTGGGGGGGTGGGTGGCGGGGGTGTGTGTGTGAGAGAGAGAAGAGGAGGTGTAGGGAGTGGTCATTTAGTCCAGACCAGGGCATTAGGGAAGGGGGCTGGAACTTTGGGGGTGAGGGGTGGGTTTGTGGTTGTGCGGTGCGAAGTTGCCTTCGGGCTCTTTGCTGACTGATGTTTTATCCCTCAGGGTTCTGGCTCCTTTGGACTCTGCTGATCATCTTCAGCTGTTGTTGTGCTTATCGCCATCGCAGGAGCAAACTCCGTATCCAGCAGCAGCAGCGGCAACAGGAGATTAACCTCATTGCTTACCATGGGGCCTGTCACTACCCAGGCTCAGCTCGAGACCACAGTGAGTGCAAATTGATGAGAACAACACCCCCTTCCTCAGCTGAGTGACTGCAGCTTTCCCAAACACCGCTCGTTCCCCTCAGTCTGAGTCAGACTATCCCTGCCTTGATCTGCCCTGTCCCAGTCTGACCACCACCCTCTCTCCCTGACTCCAGACTGCCCGAGCCCTGCCCCGCTCTGACCCCCCTGTCTCTCCCTAACTGCAGACTGCCAGAGCCCTGGCCCGCTGTGACCCCCTGTGAGTGCACACTGCCCAAGGCCTGCCCTGCTCTGACCCCATCTCTGAGTGCAGACTGCCCGAGGCCTGCCCCGCTGTGACCCCTACTTCCGGTCGAACACCACCTCATCTGTCACCCTGAGTGAGGGTGGGAAGGGGCATTAATTGGCCAGGTCAAGGATCTGGTGTAAGCCCAGTTTCAGTTGTCTACAATCAGGGACCAACTTGTCATTGGTGATGCAATGATAAATTGAAATGTACTGCTTGTCTCATAGTTTTAAATCTCTTTCTCAGGACTTTTGGCTTCCTTCAAGCTTCCTGCATACGAGGAGGCATCAGCCCAGCCGAGCACTCCTCCCCCATCTTACACTTCAATCCAGTGCCCAGGGATTAGGGCTGAGCTGAGCTCTTCACTCAGCTCCAATGACTTCACCAGCTCTCCCCAAAGCAACCCTATCTCAGGCTCCTTTGACTCTGAGCCCGGACCCCCAAACCCCAGCTCCGATCAGCCCGCTGAAGATGTTAACGTTGCTGTGTCACAAGCATCTCCCTGCTGCCTGGAGGTAGAGCAGAGGTGGGAGGAAGAGGAGGATGAGACTCATTCCAGACACCGGCACCTCACTGGAGATTCTGGTATTGAGGTGTGCCATTGCCTTATTCATGCAGATGAGAGTGAGGACTGTGCCGAAGAAAGCAGGAACTACCAGCATGACCAAACAGCTTGTGTCGAGCTGCACACTGCCCCGCTCCAGCCTGCCAATTCTGCCAGTCCATGTTCCTGCCAGCTTCCTCAGGAGACCCTAGCTCACATCCTTCCTGTTTGAGGGGAACAAAAGACTGGGAAGCCCGACAACATGTTTGAACAAGACTAAAATCCCTTGGACTGTGGGATCAAGGAGTGGCTAAACCTTTTCATCTTTGGTTAGACTGTGAATATTACTCCATATTGAAACTACTAACCTATAACCGTTGTGAGTGCTGAACTCCAAAGGAAATCATTGAACCTTGACAGTCTTGCCACCCTCTGCCAACTGCTGTCTCATTGTCTGTATCTCTAACCCTCTCTCCTCAGAACTTGTCTTCATTCCCTGTCTGTTTCAGATTCATGTTCACATACTGAGACATTGGTCTCTAAGATATTCCACTGCAGGGAGTCAAATCATTCCCTGGCCTGAAGACCAAGCTCCGTGTCAGTGATTTAACAGAGAGAAGTTTGTGTTAACATTTGCTGATTGTAAACTTCACTCACACTGACTGTCTGTTGTGGGTTAGTAGGGAAGATTTGATTAATCTCCAGTTTGCAAACTCTGATCATGAAATAATAGATTAAAAGGGAGTTGAAGTTTGAGAGACATGAGTAAGGGCTGCTGTTGGGAAATGAATCTTGATGGATTCAACACAAATAGTCCATGAGCCTCCAAGCTGGGAGGGGAGAGAAGAAATCTTCCCTCCCCACAACAGAGTGAGCAATTGTCAGATGAGAATGTTGCTATTTCTGTTAACTTCATCTGAGTACATTTTACTTCTAGGTTATTGCTTTAGGAATTGGCCTTGAATGGCAGGGATATCTTTTTGTTCAGTAGTTTTAAAAGATCCAAGTAAATGGCTATGGAAAATTCCACAGATTAGAGTATTGTGGTGCAGAAACCATCTGCTCATTAAAGAGCTGACTGATTTGTCTTACTCTGCGATAGGTTACTGGTAGAGAGAAAGCTGTTAATTAGGGAAGCACTGCCTAAAAAATTTGTGGTAGAGGATTCAAACTTTTAAAAGGAAGTACTTGAAAGAATAACTTTGCAGAACTGCAAAAGTGCAAGTGAGTTGAATTAATTAGAAATCTACAAAGAGCTAGCACATCGGCCAAACGGTCTCCTCTGTTGATCTACCTACTTCTGTTGTATAATAAAAACTGAAAGAACTGTGGATGCTGTAAATCAGGAACAAAAACAAAGTTGCTGGAAAAGCTCAGCAGGTCTGGCAGCATCTGTGAAGGAAAAATCAGAGTTAAATGTTTCAGGTCTGGCGGTTCCGCTTTGAGGAAGGGTCAACGGACCTGAAACGTTAACTGATTTTTTTCTTCACAAATGCTGCCAGACCTGCTGAGCTTTTCCAGCAACTTGTGTTTTTTGTTACTTATGTTGTATATTGCTGTCACTCATGCAGAGATAGCAGCTGCTATTTTACCCTCTTCTCATTTCCTCTGTCCTGGTTGTGGTTGCTTCTTTAATACACTCAGCAAGGAGGGATGGACAACACCTGCTTCATTGCCAGTGTTGCCAATTGTCACAAATGAAATATTTACATATGTCACACTGTTATGATCTCAGGATATCCTAAAGTGCTTTACAACTAATAAAGTACTTTTGAAATGTAGTTCCTGTTGTTAAAAAAGTGGCAGCTAATTTGAGCAGAGCAAGATCTCAACAGTCCAATGTTGGTTAATGGATAAATGCTTCTCTTCCTTTTCTCCTTCACGTTTGATGGTCTGCATTGCCCCTTACGGGCTTTACTTGTAAATATCTAATAGGCTACACAAGTGCTTACTAGTGGGGTTAATAGGATAAAAGCAAAAAATGTCAGCAATTTTTCTGGTGGGAAAGAAACTTAGTTGCAGAAAAAATATGAAGGATAAATGTTAACTAGAACTTTGTTGAACTCACTTGCTTTTCTAAGCCATGGAATCTTTTAATATCCATCTAATATAGCTATCTGATTCACTAATGTTCTTATAGGGGACAAAATCTGCTGTTCGTACCCGATCTGGCCTCCATTTGACTCCGGACTCTCAGCAAGCCACTCTATTCAAGGGCAGAGATGTCAACAAATAATGCCCCTGTCTAGTGTTACCTTACAAACCCCATAATCAACCTAGGTTTAAACACCCTATGGTCTGTATGTCCTTGTATGTTATTATCTGCCTGTACTGCTCGCAAAACAAAATTCTTCACTGTACTCAGGTATATGTGACAACAACAAATCAAATCAAACTAAATTATGGATTCGTGTCAAACGAGCAAGACATGACTGGTAACCTTTTAACTAAAAGGAGTTCACTCACCACAGCAACCAGAGTGAAAAATTGTCAGCTGAGTGAGTGGTCCTTGCGAACTAGGCAAAGATGCCTCCCTCTTCATGTGCTAATTGCATTAAAGCCAAAAGGTAACTCTGGTCAATGGTCATCAAATAGTGAGAAAGTCAGAGCTGAACAGCACAGAAACTGACCCTTTGGTCCAACTCGTCCATGCTGACCAGATATCTAAACTAATCTATTCCTATTTGCCAGCACTTGGCCCATATTCCACTAAATACTTCCTGTTCATGTACCCATCCAGATGGCTTTTAAATGTTGCACCAACCTTCAGCAGCTCATTATTTCATATGTACACCACCCTCTGTGTGAAAAAGATGCCCCTAAGGTCCCCTTTAAATCTATGCCCTCTCATTTGAACTCCCCTACCCTAAGGAAAAGACCTTGGCTATTCACCCTATTCATATCCATGCCCTTAATGATTTTATAAACCTCTAAGGTCACCCCTCAAGCTTCTGACCCTTCAGGGAAAATAGCCTCAGTTTATTCAGCCTCTCCCTATAGCTCAAACCCTCCAGCCCTAGCAACATCCTTGTAAATCTTTTTGGAACCCTTTCAAGTTTCATAATGTCCTTCCTCTAGCAGAGAGTCCAGAACTGCACACTGTATTCCAAAAGGGGCCAAACCAATATCCTGTACAGCTGCAACATAACCTCCCTATTCCTGTACTCAATGCACTGACCAATAAAGGCAAGCATACCAAACACCTTCTTCACTATCCTATCTACCTGCAACTCTTCTTTCACGGAACTATGAACCTGTACTCCAAGGTCTCTTTGTTCAGCAACACCCCCCACCACCATTGTGTATAACCCATGCCCTGATTTGCTTTTCCAAAACGCAGCACCTCATTTATCCAAATTAAACTCCATCTGCCACTCCTCGGCCCATTGGCACAATGAAAAGCAGCAGAGCCAGCATTGATCCTTGCGGCACTCTATTGGACACAGGCCTCCAGTCTGAAAAGCAACCCTCCACCACCACCCTGTGTCTTCTAGGGCCAGTTCTCCCTGTATTCATGTGATCTGACCTTGCTAATCAGTCTACCATGAGGAACCTTGTTGAGCACATTACTGAAGTCTACCTAGATCATGTCCACCACTCTGCCCTCATCAATCCTCTGTTACTTCAAAAAGTTCAATCAAGTTAGTGAAACATGATTGCCCATGCACAAAGCCATACCTAATCAGGTACCAAAGGAAGATGGTTGTGGTTGGTGGAGGTTTGTCATCTCAGCTCCAGGACATCCCTGCTAGAATTCTTCAGGGTAGTGGCTTAGGTCCAAACAACTTCAGCTGCTGTATCAATGACCTTCACTCCATATGTCAGAAGTTGTACATATTCTCAGATGCACAATGATCAGCATCAATCGTGTCTTATCAGTTAATAAAGCAGTACTTTGCTGAGCAAGGATTGTACAATACCCTAAGGTAAGATGCTATTGGGCTTGATGAGGTATGTTGAAGAAGCTCGAGAGACGACAAGATATAGTTCCTAGAAATTATAAAGATGCCTAATAGGATTGGGGGTGACTATTTGAGTTCTCTATACAGAGCTAATCCACATATAATTAAATTACATTTACAGATCAATTTGGTTATCTGGGGAGGTGATGGCTTAGTGGTATTATTACTGGACTGTTAATCCAGAGACCCAGATAACATTCTGGGGACCCAGGTTCAAATCCTGCCACAGCAGATGGTGGAATTTGAATTAAAAACAAAATCTGGAACGAAGAATCTATTGATGACCATGAATCCATTGTTGATTGTCAGAAATACCCATCTGGTTCACTAATGTCCTTTGGGGAAGGAAACTGCCATCCTTACCTGGTCTGGCCTACATGTCACTCCAGACCCACAGCAATGTGACTGACTCTTAACTGCCCTCTGGGCAATTAGGGATGGGCAATAAATGCTGCCTGGTCAGTGATGCCCCCATCTTGTTAATGAATAAAGAAAAAAATCTGCTGCAGTGTGGACAGTTCTATGTTTTATTTCTTTCACCATCTTCCATGGTGGATTCAAACCCATGTCCCAGAATATTGGCTTGAGGTTCTGGATCCCTAGTCTAGTGATATTCTCGCTACACCATTGCCTCTGATCCCAAAAGCATCCTGATGGAGGGTCATCAGGTGCAAGGACCACCATAGTGACAGGGAATCTCTAACAAGCATCTTCAAAACCAGCATAAGACTCGAGAAGACAAAGCAGACTGAAGGATATGACATTGCTGGTTTTCCTCACACTATCAAGTTATGTGATATATTTCCTGTTGAAGTCACTTCCGTGACCATTTATCAGTACAGTAGATTACTCCCTTTACCATGTGCAGTCAGAGATCATGGGTTGTAGAATCATCTTTATTCCATATCCAATTTTTCTTAAAAGCATTTCCCATTGGAGACAAAACCCAGTTCCCCTGTAAGACATGGATATCGGCAATCTCATTCAATCTTTTCTAAACCATTCACCTCTCTAATCGAGTGCAATTTGGTCTAAGCACCTTCACCACCACCACCGGGGATCTTGCTAAAGCCATACAGCTGCAGAGCAGCCTGAAGGGTACAGCAGAAAACCAGTTTTGCAAGAAATAACAAGTGCAAAAATATTTTAAAGGGTCACGCACTGAAGAGATTGGGCCATGCACAACAAATAAATCTTAGAGGCATGCCGCACCCCAATAAATTGTAGCCCCTTTCCCCATATGATGTCAGTGAGGGTACTGGAATCTGAACTCCATAATATATACCCACTAAAACACTGGACACAGCCAAATCATTGTGACACAGTTTTCCTGCACAGCACCCAGCTGGGACTTGAATTTGGGCCTTTTGGTTCAGCACCACAAGAGTCCTGCCATTAAGTTTCTAAAACAGTGATAACCAGGCAACTCATTGACATGACAAGGAGCTACTATTTAATGCTGCCCCCTCACTGGCTAGGAGCAGGCTGTGAACCCTCCCAGAGTGAGGTACATTATACGATTGCTGCCTGCTCTCCCAGTGGCTGGTTTATGGCTCTTAGCTAATGATTTCATCCTTCCCGCACTCAGATTCATGAGAAATTCCATCTTCTAAAGCCATTCACTCTGGAGCCAGAGCAATAGGTATATGTGCAATGCAAAGCACTAAAGAAACGAAAGCTATCAGATAAAGATCAACATTGCCAGCATTTTAAGGGGAGGTGAAAAAAGAAATCATCTCAAATGTGACTCCCCAGTTCATTTAAAAGCTACTTTGAAATCATAGCAATTTCTCCACTTCTGCCCTAAACAGTTTTAAAGGCATCTGGAGATTCAATTCATTTTGGATGCAGACCCAGTGAGATAATCAGCCCCTGGAGAGGACAGATAAACTGCCCCTATCTGGTGAATGCAGACAATTATATCAAAGTGCCTGCTGAGAGAAAACATAAGAGGCCACTTCCGCACTTGCCATTGCCACCTGTTACCGCAAATCAGTCCAAACTCCTGCTGAGTCTTTGGTGTTTCGTGTAGAAATATGATCAAAAAAATGTGGTAAAATCTGATGTGCGTTGAGGGTCTGACTGCCAAATGCACACAGTGAGGTCTTACTCCTTGACACGTCCACCATCTCCCTCACTCACAAAACGCTTACGGCCTCTGGAAGCAACAGACAGAACATGATTAAAATCAATCAGACCACTACAGGCAAGAGCAGAGATAGGCCATTAAACCCATCAAGTCTGATTAATCTTCAGCCTGTTTTACAAGCTCTCATTATCACCTGATTTATTCTCTGTCCTATTGCATAGCAACTACTGGGAGCCTATAGATTACAGCCACCAGTGTGTTATTTCTTATCTTCACTTTTATGAATTCTACATCTTCAGATCCAAAATCGTATCTTGCCATCATGTTTATTCTTTCTGATACTAACAAAGCTACCCCACACCCTTCTTTCCTGCTTAACCTTTCCAAAAGTCACCTAGCCCTGAATATTTAGTTTCTATCTTTGATTTCCATAACTACATCTCTGAAATAGTTACAATATCATACCCATCAACCTGTATTTATGCCATCAATTCATTTATTTTCTTCCAAATACAACATGCATTAAAGTTATGAGCCATTAATTTTTCAGGTCCAGTGACCCTTCCTCAGAACCATTAATTTTGTTTTTTCTCGCGTTTACATTTGTATATTCTATTCTTTCCTTTCCTGTCCCACTCTAAAGACCTAAATTGCTGCCCTGTACTGCTACATATCCTTGTGCTTTATAAGCCTACAGTAACAATCCCAGGAGAGGTGATAACTAGTCAAATTCCAGACAAGAATCTGGCTTGATAGATTGTATTTTGATTTATTTTTGTTCCAGCAAAGTGGTCTTTCACTGAAACATAAGCACGCAATACTGGAGATTTTACTTCAAAAATACGAGACACAGAGGGGGAAGCAATAGACGTGGGGGGAGTTGCATTACAGGTAAAGGAGCATACCACAGCTGTGTTGAGGGAGGATACCCTGGAGGGAGCTTGTGGTAAGGCATTATGGGTAGACCTCATGAATTGGAAGGGTGCAATCACAATGCTGGGATTGTACTACAGACCTCCCAGCTGTATGTGGGAGATAGAGGAAGATGTAAAAATAGTAGGGTTGTTGTGGTGCGTGATTTTAACTTCCACTATATTGACTGGGACTCTCAGTGCCGGGAGTTTTAGATGGGGAGCAATTTGTTAGGTGTGTGCAGAAGAGTGCTTTAAAACAGTATGTGGATAGTCCAGCAAGGGAGGGGGCCATACTGGACTTGGTCTCGGGAAGTGAGTCCCGGCAGGAGTGGTCAACATTTCATTGCGGAGCATTTTGAGAATAGTGACCATAATTCTGTAAGTTTTCAGATACTTATGGATAAGGACAAGTGCAGACTTCGGATGAAGGCCAACCATAACCGAATTAGGCAAGAATTAGAGAATGTGGTTTGGGAGCAGCCGTTTGAGGATAGTCTACATCTGACATGTGGGAATCTTTTAAAGACCATTTGACCAGAGCAGGGATGTTCCTGGGAAAATGAAGGACAAGAATGGCAGGATTTGGGAACCTTAAATGACAGGGGAAATTCTCAGCTTAGTCAAAAGAAAGGAAGCATACCTAAGGTCTAGGCAACTAAAAACAACGTCCTTGAATATAAAGAAAGCAGAAAACAGCTCAAACGGGGAGTTAGGAGGGATAAAAGAGGCTATGAAATGTCCTTGGCCAGCAGGGTTAAGGAGAATCCCAAGGCATTTCATACATATATTAGGAACGAGAGGGTAGCTAGGGTGAGGGTAGCTAGGGTAAGAGTAGACCCACTCAAGAATAAAGGAGGGTGGTTATATGAGAGCCAGAGGAAATGGGTGAGGTCCTTAATGAGTATTTTACATTGGTATTCACCAAACTGAGGGATGTTGAGTTTAAGGAAAGATGTGTGAATACTCTAGCGCAGGTCAACATAATGAAGGAGGAAGTGTTAGGTGTCTTGAAATATACTAAGGTAGACAAGTCCCTAGGGCCAGATGGGATTTATCTCGGGATACTGTGGGAGGCAAGTGAGGAAATAGCTGGTGCCTTAACAGATGACTTCACATCCTCTTTGGCCTCATGCAAGGTTGCAGAGGACTGGAGAATGGCCAGTGTTGCTTCTTTGTTTAAGATAGGAAGCAGAGATAATCCAGGCAATTACAGGCAGTGGTGGGGAAGCTGTTGGAGACGACAATAAGACACTATTTATTTGGAAGCGAATTAACTTGTTAGGGATAGGTAGCATGGGTTTGTGTGGGGGAGGTCATGTCTCACCAATTTGATCGTGCTTTTTTGAAGAGGTGACAACAATGATTGGGAGGGAAGGGCAGTGGATGTTATCTATACAGACTAATAAAGACATTTGACAAGTTATCTCATGGCAGGCTGGTACAGAAGGTAGAGTGTCATGGGATTCTGGGTGAGCTGGCTAGATGGATACAAAACTGGCTTGGTCATAGAAGACAGAGAGTGGCGGTGGAAGAGTACTTTTTGGAATGGAGATCAGTAACTAGTGGTTTTCCAGGCATCCGTGCTGGGACCTCTGTTGTTTGTAATATCATAGGATCACAGTGGCTCAGTGGTTAGCACTGCTGCCTCACAGCACCAGGGATCCAAGTCTGATTCCAACCTTGGGCGACTGTTTGCGTGGGTTTCCTCTGGGTGCTCCGGTTTCCTCCCATAGTCCAAAGATGTGGTTAGGTGGATTGGCCATGCTTATTTGCCTTTGGTGTCCGGGGGGTGGGTAGGTTACGTGGATTAGCCATGGAAAAAAATGCAGGGTCACAGGGATAGGGTGTGGGCCTAGGTGGGACGCTCTTCAGAGAGGTGGTGTAACTTGATGGGCTGAATGGCCTGCTTCCACACTGTAGGGGTTCTATGATTTCTGGGGCGGCACGGTGACTCAGTGGTTAGCACTGCTGCATCACAGTACCAGGGACATGGGTTCGAATCCACCCTCGGGCGACTGTCTGTGTGGAGTTTGCGCGTTCTCCGTGTGTCTGCGTGAGTTTCCTCCAGGTGCTCCGGTTTCCTCCCACAGTCCAAAGATGTGCAGGTTAGGTGGATTGGGCCACATAAAGTTGCCCATAGTGTCTAGGGATGCCTAGGGTAGGTGCATTAGCCATGGGAAAAGCAGGGTTACAGGGATACAGTAGGTGGGTGCAATGCTCATCAGAAAGTCGGTGTGGACTTGTTGGGCCAAATGGCCTGTTTCCACACTGCAGGGCTTTATGATGATGATTCTATTTATTTATATATATAATATATAAATGATCTGAAGGAAAATGTAGGTGGTCTGATAAGTAGGCCTGTAATGACACCAAAATTGGCGGAGTTGCATATAGTGGGGCGGATTGTCAAAGGATACAGTGGGATATAGATCGATTGCAGATTTGGCAGAGAAATGGTAGTTGGAGTTTAATCTGGACAAAAGTGAGGTGATGCATTTGAAAGATCAAATTCAGGGTGAGAATTATACAATAAATGGCAGAACTCTAAGGAGGACTGACATACAGAGGGATCTGGGTGTGCAAGTCCACAAATCCCCGAAAGTGGCAACACAGGTGGATAAGGTGGCCAAGATGACATACAGCATACTTGCCTTTATCGGTCAGGGCACCAAATATAAAAGTTGGCATGTTATATCACAGATATACGAAACACAGTGAACAGTTCTCGTCACCACACTACCAGAAGAAAGTGAATGCTTTGGAGAGGGTGCGGAGAAGGTTTACCAGGGTGTTGCCTGGCCTGGAGGGATTTAGTTATGAGGACGGGTTGGATAAGCTAATTGCTTTCACTGGAAAGACGGAGGCTGAGGGGCTGTAGAGGTCTATAAAATTATAAGAGACATAGATAGGGTGGATAGTCAAAGGCTTTTCCTCAGGACGGCAAGGTCAACTACAAGATGGCACAGGTTCAAGGTGAGATTGGGAATATTTAAGGGAGGAGTACAGAAACATTTTTCACACAGAGGCTGGTAGGTGCCTGGAACGCAGTGCCAGTGGAGGTGGTGGAAGCAGACCTGTTAGCAATATTTAAGGTGTATCATAATAGACACATGAACGGGTAAATAAATGAGGCAAACGAGGGGAGAGAAAACTCATATGGAGATAAGTAGCGGGTCTAAATAAGGACTAGGAATCTAGTGGACTTGGTGGGCCAAAGGGTCTGTTCGTGTGCTATATTGAATTGTAATAATGTGGAAGCATTTACAAAAGAAATGATAATAGAATAATTCAAATTACTTATTATACAAATTCAAAGGTTATTAAGCACCCAATAAAATTACATTCCATTAATTCCAGTTAAGAGTCAACTACATTGTTGTAGGCCTGGAATCACATGTAGGTAAGGATGGCAAGTTGCTTCCCTAAATAACGTTATCAAAACAGATGGGTTTTTCCAACAACTGACAATGGATTCATGCTTATCATTAGACTCTTAATTCCAGAATTGAATTCAAAATTCACCATCAGCCATGGTAGGATTCGAACTCGAGTCCCTAGGACATGACCTGTGACTCTGGATTAACAATGCAGCTATAATACCACTAGACTATTGGCTCCCCACAAAAACTGCAAAGGAATGAACCAGCTTCTGTATGGTAGAAACAAAAACAGAAATTGCTGGAAAAGCTCAGCATGTCTGGCAGCATCTGTGGAGAGAAATCAGAGTTAACGTTTCTGGTCAAGTGACCCTTACTCAGAACTGATGGTAGATAGGAATGTATTGGTTTTTATGCAGAAGATAGGTTGGGGGGAGAGGTTAAGGAGTAAACAATAGGTGGAGATAGAGCCCAAAGAGAGAGAAGAACAATTGGACAGACAAAGGAGTGGTTAATGGTTAGCCTAGGGGAATGAATGGCTGCTAATGGAGACTGTAAGTGGCTAACAACGGGCAGTGTGTAATAACAAAACATGGTGATAACAGGGCCTGGTGTGGGAGTTAGGGCAAGGACTTGGGAGAAGGTGCCTCAAGCCCTAAAAGTCCTTGGACCTAACAGTTCAGTAGGTTTAAGTCACTTGTGACTTTGATCTTTCAACCTGAACTGCAGATAGCTTCTTGTGGAGTTATCATACATTTACTTAAATGTACTCAGATTTAAGTAACTTTTTCAGGGTACACAGATGTAACTCCTTGGCTTTATTTACCCTATACAAGTTTGCCTGTGGCTCGGGTGTTAATCCAGAGCTTATTACCTTGGAAATTCCGCTTTTTAAATTTAGCTCCTATTCAAAATCTTTCAGCAGGACCTTATAATCCTTTCAATGAGGATACAACAACTGATCTGTCCCTTCCCACTCCCAGTTCCTCTCCAACCCTGAGATGTCTCTAACCAGACAGGCAACAGAGCGTCTCCCACTCATGGCTGTACAGAACAGTGTCTATTCCCCAATACATTCTCAGGATCTTTAACATCCACTTGAATACAGTACATTAAATAAAGTCAATGCATCATTGAAGCTACTTTAACAATGCAAGATTCTGTCAATTCTGCACTGCACACAATGTTTTGATTCTGAGAATGCTATCGTTTGACCCAAGCCCATGAAATTAGCTGGAGGTTTGAGTCAATCTCTCAACCTGTGGATTTTTTTTATTCATTCATGCGACATTGGCATCGCTGGCTGCCAGCATTTATTGCCTGTCCCTAGTTGCACTTGAGAAACTCCTTGGAATAAGATCAGATGAACTTACCGTGAAGGACAGCTGTCACGAAGCTGCTTGGTTATAACGGCTTCCTGAACACACAGGTCTAAGAATTTCTCCAGAATTGTGTGAACAAGTGGGACATCCAAGTTTATGTCTGGTAACTCATCAAACACTCGCTGGAAGCCCTGCAAATAAGCACAGAAAGCTGCACTAGTTCCCAGCCCATTACAGGTGCCAGCATTTTGCCTACTACTGATGTTAGGTTAATAGTAGCTTTCAGTTTTCTCTTCTTACTTTCTTAAATAGTGGAGTTATTTCTGCTACCAGTCTTTAGGGAGGTGAGTAAACCTGCTGTGAGTAGTGTTAAAGTTAACATGAGGAAACCCAATAACATTTCAACAAGAGATAATTACTGAATACACTAAGCTGTTCAACAGAAAGAAATGAGGCACCCTCATTCAAGGAAAAGTGCAAGCTCACAACAGTCAGTTATGGACAAGGTTTTAGAAAGTCAGGAAAAATAAACAAGTTGTTGAAGTTTGAGTTAAAGATTTGTAAAAAGATTTTGTTTGACTGACCAAATTGAATTTTTGATTTTTTGAGAGGCTGAATGAAGGGAATGTAGCTGTAGATTTGGATTTTAAGAAAGCTTTTGACAAATTACTCGTGACCAAAATTGAGGCTCATGGAATAGGAGGATCTGTAACAGCTAGGACAAAATAAAAAAATTGGCTTGAGACAGAGAACAGTGGTCATGGTACACAGTTATTTTCCATATTGGAGTGGTTTAATCAAAGAGATAGTGCCAGCCCAATGATTTGGACATTGGTATACAAAGTAAAATTTCAAAACTTCAAAATTTTAAACATTAGTCTTGGAGGAATGGTAGACATCAAGAATAATACTGATCAAGCCCAACATTACATCATAGAATGGCAGAAAAGTGGCAGATCAAATTCATTCCACATAGAAGTGAGTGGCGGTGCATTTTGGCAGAAAGGAAAGGGAGATGTTGCGGCACAGTTCTAAGAAATGTATGGGACATCTTGCGGTTTATGGGCATAAATCTTTGAAGATGACAGGTCGTTTTGAGTAGCTGGTCAAAGTATTTTGAAACTTGAGCTTTGTAAAAGAACAAAATCACAAAAGTTAGACAAACTTTAGAAATCTCAGGTTAGACCACAACCACTATATTAAATAGTCATTATTAGTATTAGAATTGAAATATTGCTGAAATGAGAGACCTGTTGCTGGAGATTTTCATTTTATGGCAACCAGGACAAACAACATAAAGCCACATTTCAAACTGTCATATCAATTTATACAACAAGAGACTGGCCACAGAGGAAGTAAACTGTAGGCTCCCAAGCTCCCTGGTAATTCCAAACACGTGCATCACTCGAACATATTCCTTTCCTTTGCAGATAACAGGTCGTTATATATAAATCTTTGTCAATTCCCTCCATCAAGGGAAAGTTTCTTCCTATGTACCCTATTTACACACTTAATTTGGTACATCTCAATCATGTCCCCTCTCAATCTCCTCTGCTCGAAGGAAAACAAATCAAGTCTGTCCATTCACTTTCTATACCTCGACTGTGTTGTCCAATTACAGAAACGTATCTAACAGTAGATATTTTTGGTTTTGCAAGTGTGAGCTGGTTGAATATGGTCTCTAGTCTCCTGTTATGAATGAAGGAAATTGCTACTTGATTTTATCAGCTAAATGTTGAGACATATGGCATACATATCCCCTGGTAACACAGTAGCACCAACACTGTTCAATAGCGTAAGTGGCGAATGTCTCTCTGGATGAAGGCAGCATCTTGTTCATGGAAACTACAAGTCTCATAGATATTGCATAGTAGCATCATGAAATAAGACAGTGGCTATGCTGATCAATCATTATTTGCTGTCTATCACACAAACTTGCAGACGACACAAAGGCTCCACTTTTGACCTTGCAAGGGATCACAGATTACTTCAAATCACCTTAGAAATGCAAAGTATCGTAGCTTAAAACCTAGAACTAGTTAAGGAACCTGCTTCAAGCTGCTCCAGGAAACTAAGGTAGCCATGGTGATGACAGGTTTATACAAGGAAGACAAAAAGCAATTCGGACTAACCAAAAGTCCCAGGGTAAGGAGACCCAAATTTGAGGATGGTCTCAGAGGTGGGGTGGAGTGGGGTGGGGTAGAGTGGAGATGAGGGGACAAAATGTTTTATGCAACTAGTTTTAGGTCATTACCACTGTCTGAGGGGGTGGTGGAAGCATCAAAGATAAATGTTTTCAAAAGGAAATTTGGTGAACACTTAAGGAAAATAAACTTGCAGGACAGCCGACTGTATTTCTCATAACCTGCATGGACTCAATGAGTCATATGACCTCTTTCTGTGCCATGATGACTCGATATACAAGTCAAAAAAACTCAACTGGAGGAGGTAGAATCCTTGCCTGATGCCATGGAAGCAAACAAAAGTTGTATACACATACTCTCCTAAAGCAAAACAGACACAACTAGGAATTGAATCTGTGTTGAAGGAGGTTAAGGAAAGACTTTCTGGAGTTAAATTGAAAAAAACCTCATCTTAGTGCTCAGTATGACTCCAAACAGTAGAGAGTGTTCCCACCAATTCCAGTTTTACCAGGGCTACTCAATGCCACACTCATTCAAATGCAGACTTGATGTAGAGGGCAGTCACTATAGCCTCACCTCTGAAGTTCAACTCTGTCACCCATGTTTGAATTTTTTTTTTAATTTATTCATTTTGTGGGATGTGGGTGTCACTGGATAGACAGCATTTATTGCCTGTCCCTAGTTATAGAGTCATAGATCTGTACTGCATGGAAACAGACTCTTCGATCCAACTCGTCCATGCTGACCAGATATCCTAAATTAATCTAGTCCCATTTGCCAGCATTTGACCCGTATCCCTCTAAACTCTTCCTATTCATAAATCCATCCAGACGCCCTTCAAATGTTGTAATTATACCAGCCTCCAACACTTCCTCTGGCAGCTCATTCCATTCATGCACCACCCTCTGTGTAAAAACATTGCCCCTTGGGTCACTTATGAATCTTTTCCCCCTCACCTTAAACCTATGCCCTTGAGTTTTAGACTCCACTACCCTGGGGCAAAGACCTTGGCTACTCACCCTATGCATGCCCCTCATCATTTTATCAATCTCAATAAGGTCAACCCTCAGCCTCTGACGCTCCAGGGAAAACAGCCCCAGCCTATCCAGCCTCTCCCTATAGCTCAAACTCTCCAACCCCAGCAACCATCCTTGTAAATCTTTTCTGAACCCTTTCAAGTTTAACAACATCATTCCTATAGCAAGGAGACCAGAACTGAATGCAGTATTCCAACAGTGGACTAACCAATGTCCTGTACAGCCGCAACATGACCTCCCAACTCCTATACTCAATGCACTGACCAATAAGAGCAAGCTTACCAAACATCATCTTCACTATCCTACCTACCTGCAATTCTTCTTTTAAGGAACTACAAACCTGCTCTCCAAGGTCTCTTTGTTCAGCAACACTCCCCAGGACCTTACCATTAAAGGTAAGGTGAGGTAAGTTGCCCATGAGAAGATGGTGGTGAGGTACCTTCTTGACAACCTCTGTGGTTTGACCCACAATGCTATTGGGGAGGGAATTCCAGGATTTTGACCCAGCGACAATAAAATAATGACAATATATTTCCAAGTCAGGATGGTGAGTGGCTTCGAGGGGAACTTGAACGTGGTGGTGTTCCCATATGTCTGCTGCCCTTGTGCTTCTAGATGGACCTGGTTGTGGGTTTGTAAGGTGCTGTCTGAGCATTTTCAGTGAATTTCTGCACTGCATCTTGTAGATAGTAGCAGTAGTGTGCACTGAGTGCCAGTGGTGGAAAGGGTGAATGAAGGGAGACATTAACGAACCGGATAGGTCTTTATGACATGGTCATCATTAGACTGTGATAGTAGGATTTAAATCTGTGCCCCAAGAACATTACACACTGCCCTTGTCTTTCTAAATGAAAGTGGTCGTGGGTTTGGAAGGTGCTGTCCGAGGATCTGTAGTGAATCTCTGCAGCACAACTGGTAAATAGTACACACTGCTGCTACTGAGCGTCGGTGGTGGAGGGAGTGGATGCTTGTGGATGTAGTGCCTATCAAGTGGGCTGCTTTGTCCTGGATGGTGTCAAGCTTCTTGAGTGTTCTGGGGCTGCACTCATCCAGACAAGTGGGGAGTATTCCATCATACTCCTGACTTGTGCATTATAGATGGTGGACAAGGCTATAATGAGGTCAGGAGGCAATATTTTTCCCAGTGGCAGGATGCAGAAAAAGTGTGAGTAGTGAGAACCAATTGTTATCCATCTCTTTGCATTTTATCTAAATATTTATACTCACTTCATGGCAGTAATCAGGCGAACCCTGGTCTATTTACCCTCCCAAGATCAGTGAACAACATACATATGCAGTGTTCCCAATTTGACACTAGCTGAGATCAGGTCATTCAATACAAGCCTCAACTGACTAGCTAGATGGAGAGATGCAGGGAGCAGGGAAAGGCCAGGCTTGTATTTACCCTGTTCATCTGGTCCAGTGTGACGAGCCCACTCTCCCACAGCATCTTCAGCAGCTTTACCATCTTTGCTGCCGTGTTTCCAGTCGACTCCAACACCATGATAACGGCCTGAGGGGGAAGAAACATTTGCATTTGCATAGCTCCTTTCACATCCCAAAGAGCTCCACGTGTAATTAATGATTTTAGAAGTGTGGTCATTGCTATGATCAACACAGCAGCAGACAACTGCTTCAACATGCAATGTTTAGCTGTTTGTTTTTATAGAGTGGCAAGAGGAATTGCTGATCCCAGATACTGATATGAACTCTTTTACCAACGGCCTATAGTTCATAGGATCTCAATAGATGAGGTCTCAAGTCTTAAGGCTCATGTCCAAGGGTGAGCAATAACAGTTCAGACAAGCTAACAGATTGTTAAAGCAAACCTCTTACTGCTCCGTAAGACCTTAAGAAACGGAAATAGGTCATTCAGCTCGAGCCTGATCCACCATTCAACAGAATAATGGCTGATCAGACCTTCCTCACTTTCCTGCCTTTCTCCGTAAACCTACTGATCAAGAATCTATCTCAGCCTTAAATACACATGAAGACTCTGCCCTACAGCTCTATGGCAAGAAGTTGTCAAGTTCCACAGGAGATCACAACTCTTAAGAAATTCCTCATCATCTCAGTCTTAAATTGGCACCCCTTTATTCTGAGACTAAGAACCCCTGTCCTAGATTCTCCCAAGTTTTTAAAAAATTTAATTCATGGAATGTAAGCATTGCTGGCTGGCCACCATTTATTGCCTGTTCCTAGTTGCGCTTGAAAAAAAGACGAGGGTGCTAAGCAGCTTTCTTGAACTGCTGTGGTGCACATGCTGGGAGTTGACCTGCAATGATATTAGGGAAGAAATTCCAGCATTCTGAGCTGACAACACTGAAGGAACAGTGATATATTTCCAAGTCAGGGAACCTGGGGCTATTACCAAGTTTCCAGTGAGGGGCAAGATCATCTCAGTATTTAGTCTGTTAAATCCATTAAGAATCCTATGTATTTCAATGAGGTTACCTCTCATTCTTCTAAACTCCAATGAGTATAGTCCCAACCTGTCTAACCTTCGCTCGTAAAACAATGCCTCCATACCAGTAATTACCCAGTGAACACTCTCTGAACTGCCTCAATGAAATAATATCCTTCTGTAAACAGGGGGACCCAAACTGCTCACAGTACTCTAGATGTGGTCTCACTCGCACCTTGTACAGTTGCAGTAAGACTTCCCTACTCTCATACTCGAACACCCTTGGAACAAGGGCCAACATTCCATTCAACTCCTGATTACCTACTGCACTTTGCACTAACTTTCTGTGCTGCATGCTCAAGTATCCCCAAGTCCCTTTCCCTTATGATTATGTGAAAGAGAATTATCCCAGTTCTACTCTGCCTGAACAACCATATTTCTTACTACCTGCCCTGATTTAAACCTCCGTGGCCAGGCAGGATCTGAACTGATATATGATACATTCTTCTATCTCCATTTCAGTTCTGGAATAGAGATCAGTGGGTATCTATACACACTTCTCCCACAAGAATGGGCACCTACAAACACCCATTCTCTCTTTGGGCTAAGGGTATTAGTCTCACTGAAGGGCAACAGGGCTGTGTTTTGAACAAGTCATACCAGACTCAAAATGTGAACTACTTGTCTCTTCAGATGCTGCCAAACTAGAGTTTCTCCAGCAATCTCTGTGTAACAATGAGGTTTCAGTCTGGGTGACTGATACACAGCCTGCATTATGCTCCAGCTGTGTACAAGGCTAAAGTTCAAATCCCACCTGTTCTAGAAGTGTGTTATAATATGTCTGAACAGGTCGATTCAAAATATCTATATAATTTCAAATTGCCTGTGACAGCACTTTTCGAACCTGGCACCTCTGCCACCCAGGAGGACAAGGGCAGCAGGTACATGGGAACACCAATAGCTTCAGGTTCCCCTCCAAGTCTCTCACCATTCTGATTTGGAACCACATCAATGTGCCAAATTCCTGGAATCTCCTTCCTAACCACACTCTGAGTATCCCCTCAAAGGCTGCTGCAGTTGGAAGTGGCAACTCACCACCACCTTCTCCAGAACTATTAGGGACAGGTAACAAATGATGGCCCAGCCATCAACACACAGACATTCCAAGAAGAAGAAAAGTCTTTCAATGACGGACTAAACTTCAGGGAAGTATTGCTTTCGGTTTGCACTCAGCTCCTGCTCCTTGGCATTGAGAGAACATAGGAAGGACTTGATGACAAGTGATAACATGAAGTTGTTGATTTATGAGATAGCCAACAATCTCCAATCAATCTAACAGACCTATACATGAGGGGAGGAAATCAGGAGAGCTTTAGGAATCATCATTCTAAATACAACAGTTTTTCTAAGGAAGCACAGATCATTCACTATGTGTGAGCTATGTGGAAATCAAGCTATGACTAACTTCCACTTCTCGTTTTACACTCAGGATTTCCTCCACCTTTAGCATTTATTTGCTCCAAGACAACCTGTTTACATCATGGAGTCAATGACAGCCCTTTTCAGAACAAGGGAGCAAACAGCTATGCTCATGACATTGATCGCAGCACATTCCTCACACCCTACAGCTGATAACTCATTGCAGACACAGAACACAAACAAGATTAAAATAATCTCTGAAAACAAGACAATTGTTTCACATCAGATCAAGTCTGTTCCACAACAACAGATGGATTGGTTATCACTTGCTTCAAGTTATTGATGTAGAGTATGGCAGACAACACGAAACTTAAGTAGCAAGGAGGGGGAGTGGAAAGCCATTAATGTTACTACTTCACAATAGGAAGTAAACTTTCTCACTACAGACAACTGGATCTCAGTTTATTTTATAATACACTAACCAGGCCAAGCTGAAACACAAAAGCGTCAGGAATATCTGTGCTCACCTCGTAAACAAGCTCATGATGGAAATGTGGCACCTCCAAATCACGGAGGCAATGCTCGGCTTCCGCCAGCTCTCCAGAGAGCAGGAACTCTTTCAATATGAAGTTCATCTGGGTCAGGGAGAAAATAAGTCAGTAAAGCACAGGAAAAAAGGGGGCAGACAACGCAAGATGTTATGGCTAATCTCAGAGATAGTTATGCCCATTGTTCCTCCTGTGGTGATCAGCAGATACTGGAAATGGTTCTCCGTCCTCTGATAATGTTCTGCTTTCACTTTGAAAATGGACCCCTTAATCACTGTTTATAAAACACATGCAGAACATTCAAAGGCAACAGATTAATTCCAGCCTGGAGACTTTCCTTCTCTCACTGAAAATACTTCAGTCCAAATCTTCCCCTCAGTTCTGTAACTGGAGCCCGCAATCTTCCTGTGTCATTTAGCTTTGTGCAAGATCAGGTGGCATATTTACAGACTGGGCCATCTGAGCTCCTTTCTGAAGATTTTTTTAAAATATTCATTCACAGGATGAGGACAGCACTGGCTAGGCAGCATTTCTTGCCCATCTCTAATTGCACAGAGGTTAGTTAAGAGTCAACCACATTGCTGTGGGTCTGGAATCACATGTAGGCCAGACCAGGTAAGGAAGGCAGTTTCCTTCCCTAAAGGACCTCAGTCAACCAGATAAGCTTTCCCTGACAATTAATAATAGATTCAAGGCCATCATTAGACTCCTAACTCCAGATTTTTATTGGATTCAAATTCCCACCACCAGCTTTGACAGGAGGGGAGGAAATCAGGAGTGCTTTAGGAGTCATCATTCTAAATGCAACAGTTTTTCTAAGGAAGCACAAGTCATTCACCATGATGTGTGAGTCATGTGGAGATCAAGCTATGACTAACTTCCACTCCTTGTTTTACACTCGGGATTTCCTCCACCTTTAGCATTTATTTGCTCCAAAACAACCTGTTTACATCATGGATTCAGGACTCAAACCTGTGTCCCCAGAACATCAGCTGGGTCTCTGGATTAACAGTCTGGCGATAATATCACTAGGCCAATGCCTCCCCCTCCTATTTACTAACCAACGAACTTAGTTTTCCTGTGATGTTATTCTTTCTTTTGTGCTGCACAACGGTAGTTTGATGCCACCTGGTATATCATCTATTCCATTGTGTATGTAGCACCGATACGAGGCCAGAGTCATACATAGAACATAGAACATAGAACATTACAGCGCAGTACAGGCCCTTCGGCCCTCGACGTTGTGCCGACCTGTGAAACCAATCTGAAGCCCATCTAACCTAAACTATTCCATTATCATCCATATGTTTATCCAATGACCATTTAAATGCCCTTAAAGTTGGCGAGTATACTATTTTTGCAGGCAGGGCATTCCACGCCCTTACTACAGCACGGAAACAGACCCTTCAGTCCAACCTAGTCCATGCCAACCATAATCCCAAACTAAACTTGTCCCACCTGTCAGTATTGACCCATATCCCTCCAAACATCAAGGATGGTGCAGTAAAATCGTAGCAGAATACAGTGCCCAGTATCATTAAAATTCTTCCCGACTCGCTTTTTCTCCTCTCTCCTTCACATTTTCCATTTTTCTCCTCCCTATAAAATAGCTTTTCCAGAATGAAATAAAGCAAGACAGTGCAAAAACCATGAAACATCCATCATGAAAAAGTCAAAACACAGTTCTACATTCTTAAGCATCCTGCCACACCTTAATGCCCTAGGAATTTGGAAGTCACGCAAGACATCAAAAAGGTGTTTGGACTAGAACAGAGCAGCACAGCACAGGAATGGACACTTCAGCCTACAATGTTGTGCCAAATTAAGCTAATCCCTTCTGCCTGCCCTTGGTCCATATCCCTCCGTTCCTTGCATATTCACGTGCTTATCTAAAAGCCTCTTAAATGCACCTATCGTACCTGCCTCCACCACCACCTCTGGCAGTGCATTTTAGCCTCCTAGCACCCTATTAGAAAAAAGCCCCTCACATCTCCTTTGAACTTTTTCCCTCTCACCTTAAATGAATGCCCCCTAAAATTAGATATTTTGACTCTGGCAAAGAGATTCTGACTGTCAACTCTAACTATGCATCTCATAATTTTATAGACTTCTATCAAGTCTCCTCTCAGCCTTAGCCACTCAAGAGAAAATAACCCAAATTTGTCCTTATAGCTCATACCCTCTAATCAAGGCAACATCCTGGTAAACATCTTCTGCACCCTCTCCAAAGCCTCCACATCCTTCCAGTAATGTGGCGACCAGAAATGAATGCAATATTCTTAAGTGTGGCCTAAGCAAAGTCTTATAAAGCTGCAATATGACTTCCTGACTCTTGTACTCAATTCAACAACCAATACACCTTCTTTACTACCCTATCTACTTGCGTGGCCATTTTCAGGGGAGCTATGGACTTGAACCGCAAGATCCCTCTGTTCAGCAATGTTGTTCATGGTCCTGCCAGTAACTGTATACTTTTCCTCAACATTTTGTCACTCAAAGTGCAGCACTTCACACTTGCCCAGATTAAACACCATCTGCCATTTTTCCACCCATATCTGCAACTTATATATATCCCATTGGACCCTTTAACAACCTTCTACGCTACCTACAATTCCACCGACCTTTGTATCTTTTGCAAACTTACTAACCCATGCATCTACGTTTTCATACAAGTCATTTTTACATATCACAAACAGCAGAGGTCCCAGTTAGGATCCCTGAGCAGCACCACTAGTCAACCAGAAAAACACCCCTTCACCATTACCCGCTGCCTTCTATGGGCAAACCAATACTGGATCCAAGCAACCGAGTCACCGTGGATTCCTAGCCTCTTAATTGTATATTGATAGTATATGTTGTCACCTAATTCCTTACCTTGTTACATTCAAGATATGCAGGTTTGATTTTTTACAAATAACCTATTCTATTTCCTGAAAATTTTGTACTCGTGGTAATTTTTATTTTAAAAATTGGTTCATTTAGATTAGGGGATCACCCGCCAGGCTCAATAATGTCCTTTAGGGAAGGAAATCTGCTATCCTTACCTGTACTGGCCTACATGTGACTCTAGACCCACAGCAATGTCATCGACTCTCAACCGCCTTCTGGGAAATTAGGGATGGGTAATAAATGCTGGTCCAGGCAGTGATGCCCTCATCTCATTAATGAATTAAACAAAAAAAGACCCTCTGCCCTTCAGCTGTTGGCACAGATTTGAGATTCTTGACCCACCTGTAAATGAGAGTGAGGGCTGTAGGGAGAAGCAAAAGTGACCATAGCACTCTGGCCAGGGAATACAGGGAGACATTCACAGGTGGGAGAAAAGAAAAATGTAGTTGAAATCGGAAACAGTATAATCTAGGGAGTAGACACTATTCTGTGGCCAGGATTGCGAGTTCTGAAGGCTGTGTTGCCTGCTTGGTGCCCAGTTTCAGGATATCTTACCTGGGCTGCAGAGGAAAGATCCAGTTGTCATGGTCCATGTAGGTACCAGCAATATTGGTAGAAAGAGGTAAGAGTTTCTGCTGAGAGAATATGATCAGCTAGAGACCAAATTGAAAAGCAGAACCAAAAGGTGGTAATCTCTGGATTACTGCCTGAGCCACAAGCTAATTAGCACAGCGTCAACAAGATTAAACAGGTAAATTCATGGCTCAAAGATTGGTGTGGGAGAAATGTGTTTGAATTCTTGGGACACTGGCACTAGAGAGGGAGCTGTTCTGGTGGATGGGCTCCAACTCAATCATGCTGTACAGGTTAGGCCACTTTTGGAATACTGTGTTCAATTCTGGTCTCCATGCTATAGGAAGAATGTTTTGAAACTTGAAAGGGTTCAGAAAAGATTTACAAGGATGTTGCCAGGTTTGGAGGGTTTGAGTTATAGAGAGAGGCTGAATAGTCTGGGGCTACCTTCCCTGGAGCGGAGGCTGAGGGGTGACCTTATAGAAGTTTATAAAAACATGAGGGGCATAGCTAGGGTTATAGGCCAAGGTCTTTTTCCCAAGGTAGCGGAGTCCAAAATTAGAGGGCATAGGTTTAAGGTGAGGCCGAGGGAGAAGGAATTTGAAAAGGACCTAAGGAGCAACTTTTTCGCACAGAGGGTGGTGTGTGTATGGAATGACCTGCCACAGGAAGTGGTGGAGGCTGGTACAATTACAACATTTAAGAGACATCTGGATGGGTGTCTGAATTCCTATTACAGGCTTTACAGGGATATGGGCCAAATGCTGGCAAATTGGACTAGATTATTTTAGGATATCTGATTGGCATGGACAAGTTTGACCGAAGGGTCTGTTTCCATGCTGTACAGCTCTATGACTCTTTCCTGGGACCAGAATCCTGGCGAATCACATAACTAGGCCAATGGATAGGGCTTCTAACTAAACAATTAGGGTTGGGAGGGTAAAACTAAAGGGTGCAGGAGGGCTCTAAAGTTTACACAATAAGTAATAGGACAGAGTACGGAAAGCCTCAGGAATCTAACTTTAGGCACAGCAGATAAGGGGACATCTATGAGAAGGGGGCAGTCAATGCAGGACTGAAGGTGTCATACTTAAATGCATGCAGTATACGAAACAAGGTAAATTAGCTTGTAGCACAGATTGAAATTGTTGCAAGGAGATTGGGGCTGGGAAGTAAATATCTAAGGATGCATGTCCTATTAAAAGGATAGGCAGATGAACAGAGGGAACAGGGTTACATTGTTAATGAGAAACAAAATTAAATTGGTAGCACAAAGTGATATAGAGCTGGAAGGCACAGAATCCATGTGGACGGAGTTGAGGAACCACAAAGAATAAAAAAGGCCCAGAAGGGAGCGGTCTACAGGCCTCCTAGCAGTAGTCATGATATGGAGAAGATCAGGCGATAGAAAAAGGTGGGTAGAAAGGCACTATTACAATAATCATGGGGTACTTCTGTATGCAGATTGACTGGGAAAATTAGGCTGGTAGCAGATGCCAAGAAAAGGAATTTATGGAAATGTCTACAAGATGGTTTTGTGGAGCAGCCTGTGGTACAGCCCACTAGGAAACAAGCAATCCTGGATGCAGTGTTGCGTAATGAGGCAGACTTGATTAGGGAATGGAAGGTGAAGGAATCCCCAGGGAGTAGCGATCAGCGATCACTACATGATAGAATTCACTGTGCAGTTCCAGGGGGAGAGGCTGGAAGTAGATGTAATGGTTTTACAACCGAGTAAAGATAAGTACAAAGACACAAGGGAAGAGCTGGCCAGAGTTGATTGGAAGGGAAGCCTAGCAGGGAAGATGGTGGAGCAGCAATGGCAGAAGTTTCTGGGGGTAATTCAGGGGGCACAGCAGAAATGCACTTCAAGGAGAAAGAAACATGCTACGGGGAGGACGAGTTGGACCAAAGGGTCTGTTTCCGTGCTGTATACCTCTATGACTCTAAGATGAGGCCACAAGGAAAGTCAGGGACAGCAAAAAAGGAAAAGAAAAAGCATAAAATGTAGTTAAGATTATTGGGAAGCCAGAGGTTTGGAAAGCTTTTAAAAACCAACAGAAATAACGAAAAAGCAGTAAAGGGGAAGGTGATGAAATACGAGGTTAAGCTCTACATAAAAGATAACAAGATTTTTTTTTAAAAAGATACATAACAGTTAAGAAAATTAACTCTTAACCCTCTTAAGGAGGCTTAAGTTAACAGGACTCTGGAAAATGAGGCTGGAAGAGTAGTAATGGGGAAAAAAGGAATGGCAAGAAAGATACTGAATAAGTGCTTTGCATCAGTCTTCACAGTTCCATATCGGAATTTCAAGAGATCGGAGCAGCAGGAAGTGCAGTGGCCATCATTTCAGAGAAGGTGCGAGGGAAGCTGAAAGGTCTGAAGGTGGATAAGCCTACAATCTCCTCAGCTATCTTTTTCAGAATCCTGGGGTGTAGTCCATGTAACACCCCTGTTTAAGAAGGGAGGGAGGGAAAAGTTAGGAAATTATAGACCAGTTAACCTGACCTCACTCACTGCTCAGATTTTAGAGTCCATTATCAAGGATGAGATTGTAAAATAAGGCTGAATCATCACAGCTTTATCAAGAGAAGGTCATGCTTGACAAATCTGCTAGAATCCTCTTAGGAGCGAAGTTAGACAAAGGAGAGCCAGTGGACATGATCTATATGGATTTCCAGAAAGGTGTCACACAGGAGGCTGCTAAATAAGATGATGTTAGGGGTAATAAGATGCCCATGATGTCAGGGGCAAGGTACTGACATATATTGATGTTTGGCTGACTGGCTGAAGGCAGAGAGTGCAGGTGAGAGGGTTGTTTTCAGAATGACTAGTGGAGTTCTGCAGGGGTCAGTGTTGGGATCACAACTATTCACATTATACATTAACGATCTGGACAAAGGAACAGAGGGCATTGTTGCTAAGTTTGCAAAGGACACAAAGATAGGTGGAGAGACAGGTAGTGTTGAAGAAGCAGGGAGGCTGCAGAATTTGGACAGGCTAGGAGAGTGGGCAAAAAAGTGCAGATGGAATACAATGTGGGAAATTGTGAGGTTATGGATTTTAGTGAGAAGAGGCATCGACCATTTTCCTAGTGGGAAAAGGCTTCAGAAATCCGACTTAGAAATCCTGGTTCAAGATTGCCTTAAGGTTAACATACACGTTCAGTTGGTGGCTAGGAAGGTAAATGCAATGTTAGTGTTCATTTCGAGTACACTGGAGATGTACTGCTGTCTGGTCAGACTGCATTTGGAATATTAAGAGCAGTGCTGGGCCCCCAAGTCATAATGAGGAGTGGTTGAGGTCTCTGGGTCTGTACTGGATGGTATTTAGAAGGATGGAGAACGAGAGCGGCAGCGGGGGTGGACCTCATTGAAACTTGCAAATTACTGAGACGCCTGGATAACGTGGACGTGGAGAAGCTATTTCCTCTAAGAAAGACTAAAACCTGTGGGCACTGCCTCAGGGTTAAGGGACGACCCTTTAGAACTGAGATGAGGAGGAATTTCTTCAGTCAGAAAGTGGTTACTTTGTGGAACTCATTGTTGCAGAGGGCTGTGGAGACCAAGTCATTGACTGTATTTAAGGCAGATGTAGATAGGTTCTTGATTAGTAAAGGGATCAAGTGTTCTGGGAGAAGGCAGGAGAATTGGGTTGAGAAATGCATCTGCCAAGACCAAATGGCAGAGCAGACTCAATGGACCAAATGGCCTAATTCTGCTCCTATATCTTATGGTACTTGACCAGGCAAAAACTGAAGGGTCATTTCCTCTGGCAGTAGTGTCTAGAACTGGAGGTCAGTCTCAGGATCGCATGGATTGACAATTTAGGACTGAGCCGAGGAGAATTCTTTTCACTCAGAAACAGGAATCTTTGGAATTCTCCACATCACAAAGCTGTGAATGCTGAGAATATAATGACTGCCATCGACAGAGTTTTGAGCACTAAGGAAGCCCAGGTGATACAAGATTAAAGGAGGAAAGTGCCGTTGATCTCCATCTAAACTGTCCTCTCTTCCAGTTCCTGTTTCAGATACAGAACCACTTCCTGCCCCTCTCCATCATCCTTCCCCTCTAATACCGAATTGGTCCAAAACATTGACTTCCCTAATCCTCTGATGCTGACTGATCTACTGTGCTTTTCCAGCCCAACATTTGTTAACTCTAACTAACCAGCATCTGCAGTCCTTACTGTCTCCAACTCTATAGCATACCTCTCTGATGAGATGTTTAACAGGTCGCTGCCCTCCGCCCACTCCCCAGACGTTGTCCAATCCAACACCACGCTTCATACTCAAAAGGACAGCAGCACGATCCAAAGCAGCACTGTAGGGAAGGGAGGACAAAGTTTATAGCTCAGCAGTTAGACACGCTGTGACCTGGATTATCTCAATGTCAGCAGAGCAAGTTTCTGAAGAGCAGAAACCATCCCAAGGGTAACGCACCAATAATACTCGGACCTCAAGAAACTTCTTGTTTCAAATGCAAGATTGTTTTCTTCTTCAGTATCATAAGCCATGTACAGCAGAGACAAACGTATCAAATATAAATATACACACACCCACAGCTCACTAAATAACAGAGCTGTCCCAAGAATTCAAACCTACCGTGCATGATCACAATTCACCTTCCCTTTATAACTGTCGAGAAAGTTTGATGGCAACACATCATCTGCAACTGCCCTGGCGATAAATTGGCCGAGTACCTGTCCAGACAGCAAAGAAAAACATGTTAACTAAGAAAGCTAGGTCAGTGCAGCTAAAGGAGTGGCTGGTCCCTGTGAATCTCCAGCATCCAGTTATAGAATGACTTTGGTAAATCTTAGAACTTAGAACAGTACAGCACAGTACAGGCCCTTTGGCCCACAACGTTGTGCCAAAATATTACCCGACTAAGATGAAACTACCCTGCATACCCTACATTTTACTATCCTCCATATACCTATCCAAAAATCGCTTAAAAGTCTCTCAAGTATCTGACTCCACTACCACTGCCGACAGCGCATTCCACACGCCCATCACTCTGTGTGAAGAACCTACCTCTGACATCTCCCCATACCTTCCTCCAATCACCTTAAAATTATGCCCCCTAGTAATGGTCATTTCCGACCAGGGGAAAAGTCTCTGACTATCCACTCTATCTATGCCTCTCATCTTGTAAACCTCTATCAAGTCACCTCTCATCCTCCTTCGCTCCAATGAAAAAAGCCCTAGCTCCCTCAACCTTTCCTCATAATATCTGCCCTCCAGTCCAGGCAGCATCCTGGTAAATCTCCTCTGCACCCTCTCTCAAGCTTCCACATCTTTCCTGTAATGAGGTGACTAGAACTGAATACAATATTCCGAGTGTGGTCTAACCAGAGTTTTATAGAGCTGCAGCATAACCTCACGGCTCTTAAACTCAATTCCGCTGCTAACGAAAGCCAATACACCATATGCCTTCTTTACAACCCTATCAACTTGGGTTGCAACTTTGAGGGATCTATGGACGTGGACCCCAAGATCCGTCTGTTCCTCCACACTGCCGAGAATCCTGCCATTAAACCTGTATTCTGCATTCAAATTCGACCTTCCAAAATGAATCACTTCACACTTTTCTGGGTTGAATTCCATCTGCCACAACTTTGCCCAGCTCTGCATCCTGTCAATGTCCCACTGCAACCTACAACAGCCCTCCACGCTGTCCACAACTCTACCAATCTGTAATATCAGGCAGCTTGTTCCTATCTGCCGAGAAATAATGGACACCACAGGGAAGTCCACAACACAGCTGGGAAAATGAAAGCTCTAGAATCTGCCCTCGTCCAAATACAATTAACAGGATAAAGGCAATCTGTGACTACAGTGCGATAGAGTCATCACATCCTCATGCACCAACAGATAAACCTTCAACTTCAAAAAGGGTTTGGCATAATGTTACAGTTTTCAGATGTGAGGAACACAGAGGCACAACAACTGTTAGGATTAACAAGTAAAGATAAGGCAGGATGTAGGATAAACAATGGCTGAAATGGAGCCACAGAATGCAAGGATGTAGCTTGAGCATCCTGAAGAACAACTGGCATGGATAGGGAAAAAGCTGGTCAATGGCTTCATATGGTCGATCTACCTGACAGCTCAGAGAAAAAAAACGTTGATCCACATATGAGCAGAACTTATTGCTCTTCTATTCGTGGTCTACACCGGGCAACCCTCCATGCCAGGATTGACAACTTGGTCTGTACAACAAATTAAGTGTTTTTGAATCATAAGATCAGGCTTTCAGAGGAACAAATCAGGAGTGCGATAGAATACTCTCCATTTCGAGGATGATTGCAGCTCTAATACTCAAGAAGCTTAATACTGACCAAAACAGATGGTAGGATAGGCATTTAATTCACCACCTTCACAATTCATATCCATCCATTACCAGTACACAGTAGCAAGTGCACTGCAGCAACTTCTACCACCTAGATGAGGAGCAGCAGATACATGGGAACACCAACCACCACCTGGAAGTTCCTCTCCAAGCTCCACATCATCCTGACTTGGAAAAAAAATGTCAGCACTCCTTCACTGTGGCTGGGTCAAAATTCTAGAACTCCCTCCCTGACTGCTCATGGATATGCTTACATCCCAAGGACTGCAGCAATTCAAGAAGGCAGCTCACCATCACCACCACTACCACTACCGCTACCACCATCACTACCAACTCAAGGGCAATTAAGGATGAACAGTAGATAAACAAGGACAGATCTGGGCATTCTCATCAACAAATCACTCAAGGTTAACACACAAGTGCAGCAAACTATTCTAAAAGCTAATGGAATGTTAGCCTTTATTGTAAGAGGCAATGAGTACAGTAGTAGTGGTCTTGTTTCAATTCAATATAACCTTGGTTACACCACAACTGGAATACTACGTGCAGTTTTGAACCAGTCACCTTAGGGAGCACAGAGGGAATGCAACTAAGGTACCTGACTTGGCCCCTGAATGAAGTACTGTCTAATAAGGAGCAATTGGGGAAACCGGGTCTGTATTCTCTAGAGTGTCGAGGAATGAGGTGATCTCAATGAAACCTACAAAATATCCGGAGGGATAAAGGGGGTAGATGCAGATAAAATGTTTCCCTAGCAGGGGAATGTAGAACTAAGGGACACAATTTCAAAATAAGGGACAGGCTTCTTACGACGGAAATGAGAATTTTTTTTTAAACTCAGTGGATTGTGAAACTTTGAAATTCTCTGTCCCCATGATTGTACTGAATAGCATAGCAGGCTTGACAGGCTGAGAGGCCTATTCCTGATCCTATGTTCTTAACATGACAAGTCCAACTGACGTCTGCCACGGGGGGCCAGCTGCACAGTGAGCAAAACCCATAGCAGCAGATGGTACACAAGTTCCCCATGACAATTCTGCTTTCTCAGAACTCTCCGCTGCTGAGAAATTGAGTATAGGCAGTGCATTGACTAAATTTTAAAATGCCAACTGGGTGCAGCTGGTCAGAGAGCAGTCTAAATTTACCAAGTTCGCAAGGCTACCTTGTCATAGGAGGCTTGAGAATGCTCAAGCAAACAGGCAGTGCCGTTATTTCACTTGAGATTAATCTATTTCTGGGCCAATATTTGTCTTACATAAACTAGACATGTCTGACTGTGTTCCACACCAACAACGCGAGCACAGAGAGGGTCTAAACAATGTAAGTGAATTTGTTATGTGAAAAGGAACAACTTCGTTCAGTAACTGTAATCTGCAGCACTCTGAAATTCCATCTGGAACTATGTTCTAAACTGACCAGGTATATTCCTGTCAATAAAAGAAGGATAAATACATTCAATCAATCATAGCCCTATCAGTCTACTATCATTCAGTGATGAAAGGTATCATCAACAATGCCATTAAGGAGCACGTGCTCGGTAATAACTCGCTCCCTAAGCTCCAAGATGCAGGAGCAGTAGTAGGCCACTGGGCCCATCAGGTAATTCTCCACTCCATTTTCCTGCCTTTCCCCATGACCCTAGATTCCTTCACTGATTAAAAATCTCTCTCTGCCTTAAAATAATTAACAACCCAGCGTTTACAACCCTCTGCAGTAAAGAATTCCAGATTCACCACCCTCAGATGAAATGCCTCATCTGAGTCCCCTCAACCTGAGATTACGGCCTTTGGTCACAGACTCTCCCACATGGGGAAACAACCTTTCTGCATCTATGCTGTTAAGTTCCCCCAAGAATCTGGTATGCTTCAATAAGATTTTCTCTCATCTTCTAAATTCCAATGAGTTAGGCCCAACTTTTTCAACACCTCTTCCAGAACAGGGACCAGCCCAGTGAACCTTCTCTGGCCTGCCTCTAATGCCAGTATATCTTTCTTCAAGAAAGGGAATCAAAACTTTTCACAGTATTGCAGCTGTGGTCTAACTAGTGCCTTGTATAATTTTAGCAAGACTTCCCGACTTTTTGACTCCGTTCCGATGGGGGAATGAAAAAAGTAGAACTCCAGAAGTGAGGAGCACGCTTTCTGTTGTACTATGTTAACGTTACCTTGGGCATTAATACTATTAAATTTGGCACAGCGAGATTCCACACTAGTGAAAAACAAAGACTGCAGCACAGAACCAGGTCCTTTGACTCTCAAACCTACACCGACAAATGATGCCTTTCTAAACTAAAAATCTTTTGCTTCTGCATGGTCCATAACCCTTTATTCTCCACCTATTCATGAATCTTTCAAGATGCTTCTTAAACATTTCTATTGGATCTGCTTATACCATAGAGTCATACAGTTGTACAGTATGGAAACAGACCCTTCAGTCCAACTTGTCCATGCCAACCAGATATCCTAAATTCATCTAGTCCTAGTTCTGAGAAAGGGTCACCAGACCTGAAATGTTAACTCGGATTTCTTTCTTCACAGATGCTGCCAGACCTGTTGAGCTTTTCCAGCAACCTCTGTTTTTGTTCCTATCTGCCAGCATTTGGCCCATATCCCTCTAAATCCTTCCTATTCATGTATTCATTCAGATGCCTTTTAAATATTATCATTGTACTAACCACCACCACTTCCTCTGGTAGCTCATTCCATACATGCACCACCCTCTGTGTGAAAAAGTTGCCCCTGAGGTCACTTTTAAATCTTTTCCCTCTCATTTTAAACCTATTCCCTCTGGTTTTGGACTCCCCTAACCTGGGGAAAAGACCTTGGCTATTCACTCTATCCATGCCCTTCGTGATTTTATAAACCTCTAAAAGGTCACCCCTCAGCCTCCAATGCTCCAGGGAAAATAGCTCCAGCCTATTCAGTCTCTCCCTATAGCTCAAACCCTCCAACCCTGGCAACATCCTTGTAAATCTTTTCTGAACCCTTTCAAATTTCACAATATCCTTCCTATAGCAGGGAGACCAGAACTGCATGCAATATTCCAAAAGCAGCCTAACCAATGTGTTGTACAGCCACAGCATGATCTCCCAACTCCTGCACTGAAAAGTTCTTCTGGTAGCGCATTGCAGACACTTACATAGAAAGATAGAAGATAGGAACAGGAGGAGGCCACTCAGCCCTTTGAGCCTGCTCCGCCATTCATCACGATCATGGCTGATCGACCAACTCAATAGCCTAATCCTGCTTTCTCCCCATAACCTTTGATCCCATTCACCCCAAGTGCTATATCTAGTCGCTGCTTGAATACATTCAATGTTTTGGCATCAACTGCTTCCTGTGGTAATGAATTCCACAGGTTCACCACTCTTTGAGTGAAGAAATGTCTCCTCATCCCTGTCCTAAATGGTCTACCCCAAATCCTCAGACTGTGACCCTGGTTCTGGACACACCCACCATCGGGAACATCTACCCTGTTTGGTCCTGTTTGAATTTTGTAAGTCTCTATGAGATCCCTCCTCACTTGTCTGAATTCCAGCAAAAACAATCCTAACCTAGTCAATCTCTCCTTATGTGTTACAACCCTCTGTATAGAAAAGACCTGCCAGTCATATCTCCTTTAAACTTTCCCCTTTTACCTTAAACCAATGTATGTCCTGTAATAATTGACATTGTTACCCTGGCAAAAAGACTCTGACTATCCATGCCTCTCAACATATCAAGCTGCCCCTCAGCCTCCGACATTCATGTGAAAACAAACTAAGTTTGTTCAACCTCTTCATAGCTAATATCCTCCAAACCAGGCAACATCCTGGTAAACATTTTCTGCACAGTCCCCAAAGCCTCTGTATCCTTCTGGTAATGTGGGGACCAGAAGCGTATGCAACTGCTGCAACATGACTTGTCAATTTTTATAGTCCATGCCCTGACTGATGAAGGCAAGCATGCCTTGCGCCTTCTTGCTACTTTATCCACTTGTGTTGCCATTTACAGGGAACTATGGACCAGGATGTCTAGATCTCTCTGTATGCTCATACTTCTAAGTGTTCTGCCATTTACTGTATACCTCCTTCCTACATTAGATCTTCCAAAATGCAACACCTTACATTTGTCTGGATTAAACTCCATCCGACATTTCTCCACCCAAATCTCTAGCCTATTTATATCCTGTTGTATCCTCTGGTAATCCTCCTCACTATCCCAATAGCTCCCTAATTTTTTGAGTTGACCATAAACTTACTAATGAGACCACCTACATTCTTCTCGGAATTTACAAACAGCAGTGGTCTTAGCACTGATCCCTGTGAAACGCTATTTGTTACAGACTTCCAGTCTGAAAATCACTCTTGCACTGCTAATCTCTGTCATCTACGAACAAGTCAGTTCTATATCCATCTTACCAGCTCACAACGGATCCCACATGACTTCACATTCTCTATCAGCCTGCCACGAGGAACCTCAAAGGCCTTGCTAAACTCCATGCAGACAACATCCACCACCCTGTCCTCAATCATCATCTTTGTCACTTCATCAAGAAACTCAATCAAGTTTGACCTCCCCAACACACACAAAGCCATACTGCCCACAAATTTCCAGTTTAGGGTGAGTTTTGGGTAAAAAGATCACAACACAACGATTCTGCTGTGCCGTTAGTTCTTTTACACCTTTCTAAACAGGCTTAAGGAACCAGAGCTTAACATCCTAACTCAAAACTAGCACCTCTGATGAGGCAATATGTTCCAGGAAGTGAAATTTCTCCCAAATGAGTTTAGCTGAGTATTGTACTGGAATGGCCAAAATTTGGAATGGACATCTGACAGAACAAGGATCTCTACTTATTTCCTGAAACCGCAAGTATTTGCAGGAGCTTTCTCACGACAGTCTGAATACCATCTGACGGTGTTGGATCCTGAAGAGTGCATACTATGAATGTCAGGCTGAGAGAAACCCACACAGAAGTCATCACAATTCAGATACTGTTCAGTCCATGATTCTGTGGTTTGGCTAGCTGATTTTCTTTCCAATTCCTGCAGCAATAACATGCTCATTTACCTTGGTTTTTAGCGCTGAAACATTAACCTGTCACTTTCTCGCATACATGTTGATTCAAGTTGCACATTTCCATTAATTTCTGTCCTTATTTCATAGTAACACAATGCTAGTTGGAGTATATGGTGCGAGTAAAAGGTTGCACACAGGATCTCAAGCGAAGTAACATGCCCCATAATCCCAGATACAAATTAGGACCGTATAAGTAGCCGATTTCTACCAGCAAATGCTTGCACTTTTACCTGCGGAGCTTCAGGTGTATCAAGAATAAGATCAGGCAGATCCTTCAACATCCTATCAAAGGCCTTGGCAACATCGCTAGCTGTAAGGACTTTCCCCAGGAGGTCAGAGAGAAGCCGGGACGTCAGTTCCCGGTGACTCGCCTTGCCTTCTAATGCGAGTGAGACCGCAAGAGAAGGAACTTCATGCTTTCTCTTGCCCAGGTTCAGTTCCTGCAGTAATGCCTAAAAACAGAATCACAGAATGGTTATAGCAAGAGTACTCAACTAATTCCACTGCCTTGCCATTGTGTAGCTCCTCTCTTCATATAATTATCCAAAACTCCTTTTGAAAGTCATAATTGAATCAGCCACACTCTCAGGGAGTGTATTCCAGATTCTAACTACTTGCTGCCTAAATAAAGTTTCCTTCACACTGACTTTCATTCTTTTGCTGTTCAACATAAAAATGGTGTCCTCTAGTTCTCAAAATTCACCAAGGGTAACAGATTCTCATTTACTTTACCCAAATCCCTAACGACACCACTATCAAATTTTCTTAATTTCTCTTCTCCAAGCAAGAAAAGCAGTGGTTCTAATAACTCTCATTTGGCCATCCTGCTACATACCTTCCACTAATCTGACAAACGGTCACCACTACTTTCACATTTTCATATTGGATGGTCACCCATCCAATCTCCTACTCATCCTGCCAATGTCCATTTTCATCTGGAGGCTCTAACTTCGCTGAGAAGCCTGCTATTTGGCACTATCAAATGTTCAATGCACATCAATCTCAGTGCCTTCACATAGGTTAGCTCATCAAGAAGCCCTACAAAGTTAAACATGGTTTGGCCTTAAAAAATCCATGCTGGTTTTCAAGCAATAAATGATCCACATCAGTTCAAGTGAATGTTAATTTGGTTCACGATCATACTTTCTAAAAGCTTTCCTACTACACAGGTAAAATTAACTAGCCTGTAGCTGCTGGATTTATCCTTGCACTTCTTTGAGCAAGGGTCTAATATTCGTAATTCTCCAGTTGCTACTCCCAAGCGTATCTAGTTCTTTAGATTTCTAGCCTAACTTCTCTCAGCATCACTTCTCTCAGCATCCTTGGATGCCTCTAATCCAGTTCTCATGACTTTTAATTTCCTGTGCAGTATCAAGTTTTAGTACCTCAACTACCCACAATGTGACTTCAGTTTTTTCCTCAATTAAGATGCATGCAAAGTAATCATTTATATCTCAGTCATGCCCTCTGCCTCCACACTCAAATCACTTTTTGGTTCCTAATTAGTCCCACTTTTACCATTTATATTTAAGATTCCCTGTTGTTACGTTAGCTGTCAATCTCTTTTCATACTTCTCTGCCCATTTCCTTTCTCGTTTTCCCTCAACTTTATAAATCAGCTCCCACTTTGACATGTTACATGCCCTTTCCCTGGTTATTGTACTCACGACCCCTTGTAGTGGAGGTGTATTCCCACAAGACACCAGAACTCTCTCGCCTTTAAAAAGGAAAAGCAGTGATCCCCCCCACAAATTTGCCTAACAATCTTCAATTCCAATTTTCCTGGTCCAGATCCATTCACATCCCATTGAAATTGGCTCTCTGCTAATTAGTCCTTTTTACTGCAGATTGCTTATTCTTTATCATAGTGAACATAAATAAAGATGTTTAGAGTTACTGTCTCCTAAAGGCTGCTTGGTACTTAACTCTCTTGATCCACTGCACTCCTAGAACCAGGCCCAGTATGGTTTCCTTTCTTGTTGAACTGGAAAACTCTCCTCTCCTTAACACTTGAAAGTTTCCCATTATCTCTATCAGATAGTTAATGCACCTTTCTGAGATTTCTTTACAAATATGTTCTCTTGCACCTTTCCCACCAGTTGGTAACCAATATAATACCATACTGTATTTACTATACATCAGGTAATATACAAGAAAATACATTCAGTATTTCAACTGTAGGTCTTAGCTCTAGCCAAATGAATTTATCTGTGGTCCTTCTGGGACATTGCTTCTCTCCAATACTAATATTCTCCTTAAGTTTTTCAGCCATTATCTTTATTTGCTTCATCTTGTATTCAGGAATGTTTAGCACCCAATCCTGCACTTTATTTAAGCCAAGCCTCTGTTACAGTCACATCGTATTCCCACTTGGATATCCGAGTCTTCAACCTTGTATATCACAGAACAAACATTTAAAAATGGTCTTCTTTGGGGATTAATCATAATGAAATCCAGCAGCAATTTGTATTGTTTCAGCAATTTCAATATAGAAAATACCGTTAGGCACTGCCTAGACACAGGAAACATTTTAAAAACTGTTACAGGGCCACGTGGCAAGACTGAGAGGGAAACAATATTTTAGGAGTGCTTAAAGGGAGAGAAAAGTGGTTCAGAATCTGGGAAAAAGGAAGATCAGATTCCTGCTCTTGCCATCTCGTGTGTTGGGAGCCAAGGGAATCACTGGGAACTGACAGCTGGCTTCTACGTTATGAAAATGCCTTCCCTCAACACGACTACTGCTCTTTCTCCACCTCTACCCTTCCACATTGTATGGGAACTCTTGACAGGAATTACTCATCGCACTGCTTCCAAACAGCCGAACTTTACTCTTTAACTGAGCAACAGTTTATGACACTCCTGAAAACCTACCTCTTTGACCAAGCTTTTGGTCATCTGACCTAATATCTCCTCAAGTGGCTCGGTGTCATACTTTGTTTATAATGCTCCTGTGAAGCGCCTTGGAATATTCCATTATGTTAAGTTGTTACATAAATATAAGTAGGAGTGGTTGAGCAGTAACCTAAAAATCAAACAAGGACAATGTATGATTTTAAAAACAGGAATGGTATGATGTCTGCACCTCCCATTCCCAAGCCTTCTCTTGATCACAAGTTCTGTACACCATCAGAGAAGATATTTTTCCCCTTTCTCTGCCAAGGAGTTTGACAGGGAGGGTTCTCAAAGGGTAGAGGCAGTGAACCAGCTATTACAGTGCCAGGTCTTACAGCACCCCTGTAGCTGTGCTGCTGATTGCTGACATAGTTGATCCAGTTCAGCTTCTGTGGTGATGAGGAACTCCGGGATCACTGTGCCATTGAAAGTCATGAGATGGTGGCTGGAGGGTCTCTTGTTGGTGGCAACTACCTGGTGCTCATTTTCTGCTACCCAACATTATCCAGACATGCAAAATTGTCTGCTCTAGATTACCTGACAATCAGGAAAGTAGAATGCAGGAATGGAACAGCCCTACTTTTAACATTATGACCTGCTTGCACTTGAAAACTACTAATCTGAAGAGAATCTGAAAATCTACAACAGCAAGGCAGTCTCAAAGCTCCATATCAGACCAGAACAAAATGGATCAGGTGAGTACAGAAAAAGCTGTTTTCAGATTCAGCAGATGGGAAATTGAGCAGAGGGGATTCCAGCATTGCTTAATCCAAGGTGAGACAGCACTTTCAGCTGGAAAAAATATCCAAGTGATTGAAGAAGGATATTAAAAACTAGCATGGAAGATAGAGACATAAGGGTGGGGTGAGTTGAGGGGAATGTCAGGAATAGGGCAAAGGAAGATACTATTCAGTGAAGATAATGGATAACATACTTAAGATGCTAAAGTTGAAGGTCTGGATGAGGAACGTAGAGACTTCATGTACATACCGCCACTTCACGCCCATCTCCATGCTCAAAGTACTCCTTCACAATTGGAGTCACGGTCTTCTGCAGTGCATTTTCATCCAGTTCTGGGACCATTGTCCCATACACTGTTTTGCCCTAACAACAGAGCAGACAGACAGATTTGTCACCATATATTAAACACCTCAACATCATCACCATATTCTAGAGGTTCTCCACAATGATGGAGTGAGAAAAGAAAAAAAAAATACCTGCCAATCTTCAGCATCTAACTGCCTGATCTAAGGCAGGTGACGTTGACTAAATTCTCCAGTGACTTTAACACACTTCTACTGTTTCAGTCTCAAGATGGAAAACTCTGCCCCAAGATCAAAAGCTCAGTACTGCAGCTTTCCAGCACAAAACAAAGCCCCGGAAGATGGCAAAAGCCCCTGAATGTCTTCAATATGGTTCACTATGTTAGGGAAGGAAAACTGCTATCCTTACTTGGTCTGGTCTAAATGCGGCTCCAGAATTAAAGCAATATGACTTAATTGCCTTCTGAAATGATCTAGTAAACCATTCAGTTATAAAAAGAACCACTACGAAATCTGAAAAGACATTACTAGACATCATTCAGTAATAATAGGTATGACAAGATGGGGGCACAGAATGTAGTCTGGCAAGGGATTTTAATATAGGATGCACGGTGACAAGGCACGTTGCATACAAGAATGGCTTGTTCATAGAAGACACAGGATAGTTGTTGAGGGGTGTTTTTCTGAATGGAGGTGTAAGTCCACAGCTCTCTAAAGTGGCAACACAAGTGGATTTGGTGGTAATGAAGGCGTATGGCATGCTTGCCTTCATTGGGCAGGGAGTGTAAAAAGGTTGGAAAGTCACATTGAGGCTGTATAAGACTTTAGTGAGGCTACATTTGAAGTATTGTGCGCAGTTCTGGTGCCACAGTATAGGCAGGATGTAGAGGCTTTCGAGAGGGTTACCGGGATGTTGCCTGGATTACAGTGCATTAACTGTAAGGACAGGTTGGACAAACTTGGACTGTTTTTGCTAGAGCATCAGAGGCTGAGGGGCAACCTGGTAGATGGTTATAAAATTACGAGAGACATGGACAGGATGGATAGTCAGAGTCTTTAACTCAGGGTAGAAATGCCTACACTATAGGGCATAGGTTTAAGGTGAAGGGGAAAAGTTTAAAGGAGACAGGTGAGGAAATTTTTTTTTTTAATATGCAGAAGGTGGTAGGTGCCTAGAACACACTACCAGGGGAGGTGGTAGATGCAGATATGATTGCAAAGTGTAAGAGGCATTTAGACAGACATGAATAGGCAGGCAGTAGAAGGATACAGATCTATGTGCAGACAGATGGTATTAGTTTAGAAAGGCATTATGGTCGGCACAGACGTGGTGAGCTGAATGGTCTAATTCCACTCCTACACCTCATGGTCTTATAGTCACCTCAAGATGTACGACTCAGGAATGGATGGACATGCATTTGATGCCAAAAGTCTACCTAAAGAGGGGGTGAGTGAACACAGCACAGTCCTTGTGGGGACAAAGCCTTCACAAACTGTAGTCTCAAGACCCAGTTTATCTGCCATTTTACCATTTGCAATCCATCATGACTCAATGAAGTGTGTAGGAGGCCATGCCAGGTTCATGAGCAGCACCAAAAATGAGATGTCAAGCTGGTGAAGCTATTACACAGGACCAGTTATGTGACAAAATATAAAGCAGCGTGCAATTGACAGGGCTAATCAATTCTACAGAAAACAGATCTGATTTAAACTCTGCAGTCCTCCCACATCCAGCTGTGAATGATGATGAACAATTAAAGAACAGTCCTCTAGAACAGGATGCACTGCAGAAATTCAAAGATCTTCAGACAGCACCTTCCAAACCCACAATCAGAACTGAGGAAGGGTCACCGGATCCGAAACGTTAACTCGGATTTTTTCTTCAGAGATGCTGCCAGACCTGCTGAGCTTTTCCAGCAACTTCTGTTTTTGGACAGATTGGATCGGTTTTCACTGGAACATAGGAGGTTGAGGGGCGACCTGACGTGTCTATAAGATTGTCAATGGCATAGATAGAGTGGAAAGTATGAGGCTTTTTCCCAGGGGAGGAGTCAATTACTAGGGACAACAGGTTCAAGGTGCAGAGATGGGGTGGTGAGTGCCTAGAACGTGCTGTCAGAGGTGGTGGTGAAAGCAGCATTCAAGAAGCACCTGGACAAATATATGAACATGAAGGGAATAGCTGGAGCAGAGCAGGCTCGAAGCCTGGAGCAGCTGAGGGCCGGAGCCGAGGGCCTGCAGAAGCAGAGGACCGGAGTGGAGCGGGCTGGAAGCCTAGAGTGGCAGGGAGCTGGAACAAAGTGGGCTGGATGCCTGTAGCGGAGTGGAGGCGGTTGTTGGACTGGGATCTGGCATGGGCGATCAGCGGTTTGCGAAGCCGGTCAGACCTATTGTGGAAGACCCTGCCCTGAGCTACTGTAATGTAATGTTTATCTGTAATTTGTTTATCTGACTGTAATTTTTAACTCATACTACGAATCACTGTAATGTAACAAAACTTTTTTTAATTCCTCTTTTTGTATCTAAGATTTGAACCTAGGTACTTTGTACCTAAGATGTTACCATGAGATGTGACATTGTAAACTTTTCATTGTGTACTGAAGTAGAGGAGTACATGATAATAAAGGATATTCTATTCTTCTATAGAGGGATACGGGTCCTGCAAGTGAGGACAGTTTTAGTATGGAAGGGCAAAATGTGTTGGCACAGGCTTCGAGGGCCGAAGGGCCTGTTCCTGTGCTAGTTTGTTCTTTGTAAGACTTGTGCTCCAGAACATGCCACAACCCTAGCCAAGCTGTTCCAGTACAGCTATACCACAGGCATTTACCCAACCACGTAGAAAATTGCCCAGGCACGTCCTGCACACACGAAGAGTGGGATAAATCCAACATGACCAATTACTGCTGCAGTCTACTCTTGATAAAAGTAAGGGAAGACTGTGTCAACAGTTCTTTGAGCAGCACTTACTCAATAACAGCCTGCTGACTGATGCTCAGTTTGATTTCTGTATGGCCACAGAGCCCCTAACCTGATCAATGGAAATCATGAGAGCAGAATTCTCTACTGGTTGTAGTCATACCTAGAACAAAGGAAGATGGTTGTTGGATGTCAGTCACCTTAGTCCCAGGATATCACTGCAGGAGTTTCTCAGGGTAGTCTCGGTCTAAACATCTTCAGCTACTTCAATAACCTTCCCTTCATTTAGAAGTCACAAGTGGAGATGTCCCCTGACAATTAAGTAGTGTTCAATACCATTTGCAATTCCCCAGATACCAAAGCAGTCTGCACCCACATAGAGTAAGACCCACACAACATTCAGGCTAGAGGTGGTATGTAGCAAGTAATACTTGCATCATACAACTGCTGGGCAATGACCATCTCCCCTTGCCACTACTATCGCTGAACATTCCACAATCACAGAAATGTGAAAATCAGGAACAGGAGAAGATTATTTGGCCTATCAAGCCTGCTTTGTCATTCAACACAACATGACTGACCTTTGACTTCAATGCCATTTTCTTCACACCACTTCAGGTCTTAAATATCTGGAGATCATTCGACCTTTGTCTTGAACAGACTCGATGATTGAACATCCAGGACAGAAAATTCCAAAGATTCACCACCCTGTGAGCGAAGAAATTCCTTATCTCAGTCCTAAGTGATCTACCCTTATTCTGAGACAGTGTTAACTTGTTCTAGAATCACGCCAGCCAGGGAGATATCCTTCCTACTTTTACCCTGTCATGCTCTGTAAGCATTTGACACATTCCAATAAGGAAGCCACTAATTCTTATAAACTCTAGACTCAACATCATACTGGATACCACTGACCAGAAAGTGAACTGGACCAGCCATATAAATACAGTGGCTACAAGAGCAGTTCAGAAGCTAGGATTTTTGTGGAAGAAACTCAGTTCCCAATACACCAGCGGCAAAACAAATGTCAGAAGTGCAATGGAATACTCTCCACTAACCAGATTGATATAGCTACAACTCATGTAGCTTGACATCATAAGGACAAAGCAGCCACCACTTAAAACATTCACTCTCTCTGACAAGACACAGTGGCAGCAGCGTGCACCATTAACACGCACTGTAGCAACTTACCCACTGGTTCTTTGAACCTTCCAACCTGTAACTTCTTCCACCTGTTACACAGTTACACAGGAACACCACCTCACCTACAAGCTCCTCTCTAATCCACACACACCATCCTGACTTGGAACAGTATCACTGTTCCTGCTCTGTTGCTGGGTTAAAACCCGGAACACCCATCCTAACAGCACTGTAGACGTCCCACACCCCAAGGACTGCAGTGGTTCAAGATAACAGCTCAGCACCACCTTCTCCTACTGGTTCAGTCAGCAATACCTACATCCTGTGAAAGAATACAAAAATTGGTGACAGGCCCTAAAACATCACATCCCAAAGCGTGCTGTAACCCTAAAAAGTTATGTCCATTGTTTGCCTTAGACTGAGTGATGTTTTGGATCCACGACAACATACCCACCTGGGCAGCATCATCATAGTTGGGATCACGAGCATCGGGTTCTTCATAATCATAAATAACTCCAGCTGCACCCCATACACCCTTCCCGCCAGCTCCACCTGGAATAAACAGAGTGGTTATACCCATAAATCAAACAATCGTGCTCTGCTTATTCTGTAATTTGAAAATCCTCGTTCAAAAGGCTGAATTATAGAATATAGAATCCCTGTGTGAAAATAGACCATTTGGTCCAACAAGTCCACACTGACACTCCAAAGAGCATCCCACCCTATTCCTGTAACACTGCATTTCCCATGGCTAATCCATTTGATTTACACACTCCTGAACACTACGGGAAATTTCCCATGGCCAATCCACCTAACCCGCACAGCTTTGGACTGTGGGAGGAAACCGGAGCACCTGGAGGAAACACACACAGACACGGGGAGAATGTGCAAACTCCACACACAGTCGCCCCGAGGGTGGAATTGAACCTGGGTCCCTGGAGCTGTGAGGCAGCAGCTCTAACCACTGAGCCACCATGCTGCCTGTCAGTTGTGTTTTTTATTCACTCATGGAACGTGGGAATTGCTGGCCGACTGGCATTTATTGCCCGTCCCTAGTTGCCCTCGAGAAGGTGGTGGTGAGCTGCCTTCTTGAACCACTATAGTCCTTGGATTGTAAGTTGATCCACAATGCCCCCAGTAAGGTAATTCCAGGATTCTGACCCAGCAACAGTGAAGGAACAGTGATATATTTTCAAGATAGGATGGTGAGTGGCATGGGAACCTGAAGGTGGTGGTGTCCCATATATCTGATGCCTTGTCCTTCCAGATGGCAGTATCCGTGAGTTTGGAAGGTGCCATCTGAGGATCTTTGGTGAATTTCTGCAGTGCATCTTGCAACACACTGCTGTTACTGAGCATTGGAGAGAGTAGATGTTTGTAGATGTGGTGCCGATCAAAGAAGCTAATTTGTGCTAGGTAGTGTCAAACTTCTAAAGTTTTGTTAGGACTGCACCTATCTAGTCAAGTGGGGAACATTTCATCAGACTCCTGACTTGTGCCTTGTAGATAGCTGACAGGCTTTAAAGGCAGCACAGTGGCTCAGTGGTTAGCACTGCTGCCTCACAGCGCCAGGGACCCAGGTTCAATTCCAGCCTCAGGTGACTGTCTGCGTGGAATTTGCATGTTCTTCTCATGTCCGCGTGGGTTTCCTCTGGGGTCATCTGTTTTCCTCCCACAGTCCAAGGATGTGCAGATTAGTTGGATTGGCCATGCTAAATTGCCCATAGTATCCAGGAATATGTATGCTAGGAGGGCTAGCCATGGCAAATACAGGTTTACAGGGATAGGGTACAGGGTGTGGGTCTGGTGGGATACTCTTCGGAGGGTCAGTGCGGCCTTGATGGGCCGAAAGGCCTGCTTCCATACTTCAGTAGTATTCCTAGCCTCTGACTTGCTCTTGTAGCCACTGTGTTCATATGGTAAATCAAGTTGAGTTTCTGGTCAATGGTACTCCCAGGGACAGTTGAGGGACAGTGGTTACATTGTCCCTTATTGGAGATGGTCATTGCCTGGCATTTGTGTGTTGCTAATGTTACTGGCAGGGACAAATCAAGATATCAAGACAGATCAAGAGATTTTTGCTGTGAATAAGTATTAAAATAGTCGAGATCAACTATCATCTAATTGGCAAGTACAATGGATTCAGAGGACTGAATGGCCTCCTGTGTCCATCTCTTACAATCAGAAACCTCATCACACCTATAATTAGAGCAAAGACAACTCACCCTGATGCACCTTGATGTTTTCTCCCTATTTAATATTTGAGCTATAGTGGCTTTTACCACTTTGCTTCTCTGTCAGAGTACATTCAGGAATATATAAATAGGGATCATTACCGAGAGGGAATACAGGAGGGATAACAAATACTCCTACAAAAAGTAGGAAACAAATAGAAAACAAACGATCGTACAATTTTACCAGAGGTACCAAAGGTGAATTTTCCTTCATCATCCTTCTCAAGGTTATCTGCAGTCATAAGAGTCATAGAATCCCTAGTGTGGAAGCAGGCCATTCGGTCCACCAAGTCCACACCACCCCTCCAAACAGCATCCCACCAAACCCAACCTTTAGCCTATCCCTGTAATCCTGCATTTTCCATGGCTAACCCATCAAGCCTGCAAATCCCTGGGCACTATGAGGAATTTAGCATGGCCAATCCACCTAACCTGCACATCTTTCGACTGTGGGAAGAAACCAGAGCACCTGGAGAAAACCCACACATGCTTGGGGAGAATGTGATAACTTCACATAGTCATCCGAGGGTGGGATCGAACACGTCCCTGATGCTTTGACATGGTGACCATCCACCTATTTCCAACATCCTTCCATTGGTATCCAACCGTGGGAAAGGTGGACAGAAATTCCTGTCACCTGCTGTGGTCACTTCACCTGACGAAAAAGCAGTACTTCAAAAGCTTATGAATTCAAATAAACCTGTTGGCCTATAACCTGTTGATGCGTGACTTCTGTCTTTGTCCACCCCAGTCCAACACTGGCACCACCACATCACCTGCAGCACCAACCACACATGGAGTACTTAGAACATAGAACAGTACAGCACAGTACAGCCCACAATGTTGTGCCGACAATCTACCCTGCATATCCTACATTTTACTATCCTCCATGTGCCTATCCAAGAGTTGCATAAACGTCTCTAATGTATCCGACTCCACTACCACCGCCAGCAGTGCACCCACCACTCTCTGTGTGAAGAGCCTACCTCTGACATCTCCCCTATACCTTCCGCCGATCACCTTAAAATTATGCTCCCTCATAATAGTCACTTCCGTCCTGGGAAAAAGTCTCTGGCTATCCACTCTATCTATGCCTCTCGGTATCTTGTACACCTCTATCAAGTCATTTCTCATCCTTCTTCCTTCCAATGAAAAAAGCTCTAGCTCCCTCAACGTGTCCTCATAAGACCTACCCTCCAGTCCAGGCAGCATCCTGGTAAATCTCCTCTGCACCCTCTCTAAAGCTTCCACATCCTTCCTATAATTAGGCGACCAGAGCTGAACACAATATTCCAAATGTGGTCTAACCAGGGTTTTATAGAGTTGCAGCATACCCTCACAGCTCTCAATTCTCCTGCCAATGAAAGCCAACACACCATACGCCTTCTTAACAACCTTTATCCATTTGGGTGGCAACTATTGTGCGCAGTTTTTGCCATAGGAGAGTGCAATGAAGGTTCACTAGGCTGATGGTAGGGATGGCAGGACTGTCCTTTGAGAATAGAGTGCTTTGAACCAAGTTTAGAAGGATACAAAGGAACTGACTAAAATGTATAAACGTCTAACAGGACTGGACAGACCAGATGCTAGAAGGATGATTTTCCTTGTTAGGGACACCAGGGGACAACCGGACAAATCCTTGCGTCATCCTCACCATTGGTCTTCCCAGCAATTTATGTGTCATCTGCAAACTTGACAATAGTACATTCATTTTCCTCATCCAAATCATGAATATATAATGTCAATAATTGTAGTCTCCCTTAAATGAAAATGCTCCCATTATCCTAACTCTGTCTTGTATTAGCAAGCCAATTCACTGTCCATGCTAATAAACTACCCCAGCAGACTTTCATCTTACTCAGTGGCCTTATGTGCAATACCATACCAAATGCCTTTTGGAAATCAAAATACAGTTCAAATGCTAGTCCCCTTTATCTATCCTGATTACACATGGTGGAAAATAGGATGGCAGTCTATACAGAATTGGAATTAATGTGTTAGAAGAACTCAAATCTTGTTTCCCACATTTTTTCTGGGAATCGTTTAGGCACTGATTGAGCCCTCACACAGTAACTCATCATGATTTACCTTTCTTTGGAAGGCCTCGTCCTTTTCCAGACCGAGATTTCCGGTCATTGAGCTTTCCTTTGGGACTGTTTGGGTCTGTCCCCGGCTCACCACCCTCTGACACTGACTCCCGTGTGGAGTCTCGTGATGAATTGCGCCTCAACCGCCGCTTAGCTTTTGCCTTGATGCGAGCTTCATGCAACACCTTTTCCTGAAGCGTCCCATTCCCATTCACCTCACCGTCGTTCAACTCTTCATCGTCATCAATGTCCTCAGGATTTAACAGATTCAAATCTGAAGTGAAAGAAAATTTAAAAAGGTACAGAGTTTCTATTTTAAAAAAATCACTTCTCCATTGCTCAAAAAATATTTAGCTCCCAAAGATCAGTTGGCTATATACCAGCTATTCCTCCCTCACATGGCCACAACTTGTGTGTTAATTTGGGCACTATGTTTTGTTTTAATTATCCTTACGTTTGAGCAGATCAGCTCTGATTGAAGAAAGGTGGCTCAAAGGTTATCATTGGCTCTCTCATTGGCTGATGGAGTTGATGACTCCATGGCAACTAGATAACCTACAATTTACAATGCAGAAACCCTTCTTTAAGCCAAGAAAACAGAACATAGCATGTAAACATACTACAGATAAAGATTATCTCAAAGTTGACACCGCTAATAAATCTGAAGGTTACAAAACAGAAACAAATGACTTTTAAAATTTCACTAGAGACACCAAGAGTTTAAAAGTTGCTTTCATTAATCAGGAGACAAGTGTCAAGTGTCTCCCCACCCAAGTTGTTTCGTTTAGTACAAAGCAGCTTCAATTGTTTTAGATTAGAGGAAAGTATAATTGCCTGTTTAGGAGTAAGGCAGTGTGGCTATATGCTCTGTTTGTGTTCAAGAGCAGATCAATGTATGAGAGCCAAGGATGGAACTGGCCATTTGCTGCATCAACTATCAGTAACATTATTGATCGTCTGACAGAATAGATGTTCCAAGAGCAAAGAAAGGCCAAAGTGTCTAAGAAAACATCAAAGAGAAGGCTGAAGAATTTGCAACTAAGTTCAACCAGAAGTGCCAAGTGAATGGTCGAATTCCACCACTTGAGATTCCCAGTATAACAGTATGCCAGTCTTGATATGATTTAATTTATTACTTGTGTACTGAGGTGCAGCGAGAAGTGTTGTCTTATGTGCTTTACAGGCAGATCACACTATACAAATCTTCAGCCACAAACAAAAACAGAAACTGCTGAAAAAACTCAACACATCTGGTAGTATCTTTGGATAACTGTATAAGTTAGCTTTCATTAATAGAGGGATTGAGTTCAAGAGCCATGAAGTTATGCTCCAGCTATGCAAAACCTGGTTCGGCCACATCTGGAGTATTGTGTCCAGTTCTGGTCGCTTCATTACAGGAAAGATTTGGAAGCGTTGGAAAAGGTGCAGAGGAGATTTACCAGGATGTTGCCTGGAATGGAGGGAAGGTCTTACGAGGAAAGGTTGAGAGCGCTAGGGCTTTTCTCTTTGGAACGACGAAGGATGAGAGGTGACTTGATAGAGGTGTACAAAATGATCAGAGGTATAGATAGAGTAGACAGCCAGAGACTTTTTCCTAGGGTGGAGGTAGCTATTACGAGGGGGCATAGTTTTAAAGTGACTGGAGATAGATATAGGGGTGACAGCAGAGGTAGGTTCTTTACTCAGAGTGGTAGGGGCGTGGAATGCATTGCCAGAGAGGGTAGTGGAGTCGGCATCATTAGGGGCATTTAAGCAGCTATTAGATAGGCATATGGATGATAGTATAAGGTAGGGGTGGAGGTTAGATAGACTTTAGGTTTAGGGTAAAAGTTCGGCACAACATCGTGGGCTGAAGGTCCTGTACTGTGCTGTACTGTTCTATGTTCCAAGTCTTGTGACCCTTCTGAACTGAAGAATCTCATTTTTAAGGTGACAGGAGAAAGATTTAAAAGGAACCCGACGGGCAACATTTTCCACACAGAGGGTGATTCGTATGTGGAATGAACTGCCAGAGGAAGTGGTAGATACAGGTACAGTTAAAATATTTAAAAGACATTTGAACAGGTACATGAATAGGAAAGATTTAGAGGGATATGGGCTGCATGCAAGCAAGTGGGACTAGTTTATTTTGGGAAACTTGCTCTACATGAACAATTTGGACCAGTTTCTGTACTGTTTCGAGTCACTGAGTCATACTTTAACCATTTTCTCTCTACAGATGTTGCCAGACCTGCTAACTTTCTCCAGTAATTTCTGTTATTGTTTGTTTCAGATCTCCAGTGTCCACATTCTATTTTCGATTCTAGTTTTCAGCCAATTTAAGGCAAAGGACACGAGAGAGGTCCCAATATTCCAGCAGTAGCAAGGGACAGAGAATTTTGTTTTTCTTGAGATTTTTTGGGGCTACTTTTTGATTTTCACGAGTTATGTCTTGGGTTATTGGGGGCTGACTTTTCAATCCCATTAACTAGTTTTGTAGGTGATGCCTTCACGATATCTTCTGTATTTGTGTTGACAAGCAAGATACCTGCAAACACTCAGAAACAGAATTAGGAGAATTCATTGAAATCAATAAACTATTACTGCCCTGATCATCAAAGTTCTGCAATGGGTTGTTGACAATGCCACGTTTGGGTTCCACCAGGGACACTAAGCTTCTGACCTCATGGAGTCAGAGTCCAACAGCGCGGAGACAGGCCTATGCTGATCAAAATGTCCATCTACACTGAGTTCATTTCCCTGCACTTGGCCCATATCCTTCCAAACCTTTCCTATCCAAGTATTCGTCCAAATACCTTTTAAATGTTGTTAGTGTGCCTGCCTCAACCACTTCCACTGGCAGGTCATTCCATATGCGTACCACCCTTTGTGTAAAAAAGTTGCCCCTCAGGTTGTAAATTTCTTCTGTACTCTTTCCAGTTTAACAACAACCTTCCTATAGCAAGGTGACCAAAACTGAACACTATACTCCAAGTGCGGCCTCACCAACGTCATGTACAACTGCATCATAACTTCCCAACTTCTGTACTCAGTGCCCTGACTGATGAAGGCCAGTGTGCCAAAAGCCTTCTCCACTGCCCTGTCTACCTGTGACTCCACTTTCAGAGAACCGTGTACCTGAACTCCATGGTCCCTCTCTTCCACTACACTCCTTAAGACCCTACCATTCACCATCAAACTCCAACCTTGATTTGACTTTCCTTTTCCAAAATGCAACACCTCACCCTTATGTATATTAAACTCCATTTGCCATTTCTCTTCCCCTGCTGAGTAACATCCTGCTGCAATTTCTGACAACCTTCCTCACTCTGTCCACAATACCGCCTATTTTAGTGTCATCCACAAACTTACTCATCATATCTTGTACATTCTTATCCAGATTAGATATTGATAACAAACAGCAATGGGCCCGGCACTGACCCCTGAGGCACAGCGCTAGTCACAGGCCTCCAGTCTGACAAGCATCCTTCCAGTATTACTCTGTGCTTCCTACCATCAAGTCAATTGTGTATCCAGTTTGCCAGCTTTCCCGGGATTCCATGTGAGCTAACCTTCCAGAGCAGCCCACCATATGGAACCTTATCAAAGGCCTTACTGAAATCCATATAGACTATGTCTACTGCCCTGCCCTCATCAACCATCCTGGTCACTTTATCAAAGAACTCTAACAAATTTATGAGGCATAATCTCCCACGCACAAACCCATGCCAACTACTCCTAATCAATCCGTCTTTCTAAATGCATGTATATCTTATCCCTCAGAATCTTCTCAAATAACTGACCCACCACAGATGGTAAGCTTACTGGTCTATAATTTCCAGGTTTTTCTTTGCAGCCCTTCTTCAATAAGGGCACAGCACTTGCTACCCTCCAGTCTTCCGGGACCTCACCCGTACCTAATGACGATGCATTATATCAGCCAGGGCACCCGCAATTTGTTCTCCAGCCTCTTGCGGGGTTCTTGGATATACCTGATCAGGACCAGAAGATTTATCCACCTTCATTCATTCTAATACTTGCAACACCACCTGTACTATGATATGGACTGTCCCAAAGATATCGCCACTAACTTCCTCAAGTTCCCAAGTCTTCACGTCTTTCTCCACATTAAACACAGAGGAGAAATATTCATTGAGGACCTCGCCCATCTCCTGTGGTTCCACGCATGCGTGTCCACTTTGGTTCTTGAGGGGTCCTATTCTCTCTCTAGTTATACTTTTTCCTTTAATATACTTTCTTTGGATTCATCCTAATCTTCTCAGCAAAAGCTATCTCATGCCCCCTTTTCACCCTCCTGATTTCCTTGTTCAGTAAACTCCTGTATCCTCTATACATCCTGCCTGTTCCTGAGCCATGCCACCTCCTTTTCTGTGGTCAAAGCCTCAATATCTCTTGTTATCCAGGGTTCTCTACTCCTGCAAACCTTGACCTTCACCCTCACAGGAATATACAGACCTTAACTCTAGCTATCACACTTTTAAAGGCCTCCCACTTGCCAAATGTCCCTTTGCCTGCAAACAATCTACTGCAAACAACAACTGCAAACTCCTGTCTAAATCCATCAAAATTCGCCTTGCCCCAATTTGGAACCTGAAGATGTGGACCAGTTTTGTCCTTCTCCATAACTATTTTAAAATTAATGGAACTATGGTCACTGGTCCCAAGGTGCTCCCCCACTGTCACCTCAGTCACCTGTCCTGCCCTATGTCCCAAGAATAGGTCAAGTTTTGTCCCATTCCAAGTAAGACCCTCTATATGCTGCTTAAGGAAACTTTCCTGAACACATTTAACAAATTCCACCCCATCTAAGCCCTTAACCCTATGGCAGTCCCAGTCTATGTTATGTAAATTAAAACCCCCACTTTGACAACCCTATTTCTCCTGCAAGTCTCTGCAATCTCCCTGCATATTTGTTCCTCTGATTCCCATTGACTATTTGGGGGCCTATAGCACAACCTAAATAACGTCACCACCCCGTTCTTATTTCTTAGCTCCACGCACAAAGCCTCACTGGATGATCCCTCAGTTATTTCATCTCTGACTACTGCTGCGATACTCCCCTTAATCAAAAATGCAACTCCCCCTGCACTCCTTCCTCCACCATCTGCCTCACCCAAAGCACCTATACGCTGGCACATTAAGTTGTCAGTCCCGTCCCTCCCTTAGCCATGTTTAAGTAATGGCCACAATATCCCAGTCCCACATACCTATCCATGCCCTGAGTTCATCAGCCTTACCTGTCAGCCCTCTTGCATTGAAATAGATGCAATTTAATCCAACAGGTTTTCCTCGTTCCCTGTCCTGTTCCAGCCTGACCCGTCTCTTCAACTTGCTATTTCTGATTACTGTATCTCCTTCCAGCCTTGCACTTGCCTCCCTGCTGTTGAGGATCCCACCCTCCTGCCAGTCTAATTTAAACCCTGTCTTGCAGCACTAGTAAATCTGCCCACCAGGATAATGATCCCCCTTCAGATCAGGTCACCTCTGCTCCAGAAAAGATCCCAATGATCCAGGAATCTGAATCCCTGTTCCCTGCACCAATTCTTTAGCCACACATTCATCTGCCATATCCACTTTCACTAGCACTGGAAATAATAGAGATTACCACCATCGAGGTCCTGCTTTTTAAAATTTTTTTCCTACTTCATTACATTTCTTCCCTGAACACATTTGTGAATCAGATTTACAAATTCACAACAGTAACTTATCGCCTTTGATTACTGAGACTAGTCTTTCCTTTAATGGCAGATTTATTTAACTCCGCGAACTTTCAGTTCATTAACTGCTTTGGCAGGATCTGAAATCATAGCTCAAAGAATTTGTTCAACCCTCCAGACGACTATGCTACCACACCCAATGATCAAACACATCAACAAAGTTGTTACAATGTCGAACAGACATGGTTGTATCAAAGAACAGAATGACACTCATTACTGCCAGTTTCTCATTCCTCATTTCCTAAACTTGCGACTTTCATTTTCTATAATTAATATATTGTTTTCAGGATACTACCCTGAGGAGGATATCCAGCTGAGTTTAGGATTTCTCCAATAAAATGAAAAATACAATCTATGACTTCAACAGCTCGTAAATTCCTCACGCATTCTCTGTCCCCTTGATAAACAGAGTTTGAGTACTCCCTTTGAGGAAAGTTAACAATGAGGAATAAATGCTGGCCTGGCCAGCAACAATCACATCCCATGAACAAAAATGAACGAGTACAACACGTAACTCTATCTTGTCCCACCATTTAGTAAGATCATGAGCAAACTTTACATTAAATCCACTTTATATCCAATCCCTACACCCATCAATTTCATTCAATTCCAACAACTATTGATCTCAGCCTTGAACACACTCAACTGAACACACACAACCTTCAGATATAGAATACTGACGATTCACAATGTAGAGTGAATAAATGTCTCATCTCAGTCCTAAATGACCCAAGGTTAGCCCGACCTTGATCACTGGCAGGATTTGAGAGTCCGTTCTCAAGAATGAGATTGTGTAAAGCTTAGAAGGGCATGGTAAAATAGGGCCGAGTCAGCACAGCTTCATCAAGAGAAGGTCATGCCTGACAAATCTGTTAGAATTCTTTGAGGTAACAAGCAAGATAGACAAAGGAGAGCCAGTGGATGCAATCTATTTGGATTTCCAGAAGGATTTTGATAAGGTGCTGCACAGGAGGCTGTCAAATAAGAGCCTAAGGTGTTCGGGTCAAGATACTAGCAGGGATAGGGGATTGGCTGACTGGCAGAAGGCAGGCAGTGATGAGTGGTGCTCCGCAGGGATTGGGACCACAACTATTCACATTATCCATTAACGATTCAGAACAGGAACTTTATTTTTAATTTATTCATGGGATGTGGACATCACTGGCTGGACCGGCATTTATTACCCATCCCTATTTGCATTTGGAGTATTGTGAGCAGTTTTGGGTCCTGTATCTAAGCAACGATGCGCTGACATTGGAGGGGGTCCAGAAGAGGAGATCATGAGTCTGAAGAGCAGTTGAGGACTCAGTCTGTACTTAATGTAGTTAGGAGGATGAGGTTGGATCTCATTAAAACTTACAGAATACTGAGAGGTCTGGAGAAAGTGGAGTAGAGAAAATGTTTTCATTAGTAGGAGAGACTAGGGCCCAATGGCACAGCCTCATATAAGGAAGAATTTTCTCAGCCAGAGGGTGGTGAATCTGTGGAAGTCAGTGCCACAAAAGGCTGTGGAGGCCAAGTCACTGAATGTATTTAAGACAGAGGTAGATATGTTTTTGACTAGTAAGGGGATCAACAGTTACAAGAGGAAGGCAGAAGAACAGGGTTCAGAAACATATCAGCCATGATCAAATAGTGGAGCAGACTCGCTGGATTGAATGGCTTAATTTGGCTCCTATATCTTATGGATCTCTTATCCTGAGGTTATACCTTGAGTTTTAGATCCTCCAGTCATTATCTAAGTATTTCTCCTTTTTATTATTATTCTTATAGGTTCAATGAGATCATCTTGCTATCTATTAAACTCTAGAGAAAACAGTCCTAGTGCACACTCTTTCTATGTACAGGGGAACTCATTCTAGAAACCAATCCCTTGAACTTTTGTTGCACCACTTCTAAATAAGGTATTTACTTCCTTAGGTAAGGAAACCAAAACTGTACATAGTAATCAGCTGTGGTCACTTCAAAGCTCTGTCCAAAGCTTCCTTATACTTGTCTTGCAGTTCTCTTACAATAGGGATTAATATATCATTTGTCTTCCAATTAGTTCAAGCAGTGTTTGGAAAAGAGATGGCAGCCTGTGGCTGATGAAGGAACACATCAATCTGTTCTTCTTCCTACCTACGAAGCTCAAAAAGAGTTTGCCCAGTAGTATGGAGGGCCGATGGGCCTGTTCCTGTGCTGTAATTTTCTTTGTTCTTTTTTCTATGAGATAACAAGGTGTAGAGCTGGATGAACACAGCAGGCCAAGCAGCATCAGGGATTGACCCAAAACGTCAGCTTTCCTGCTCCTCTGACGCTGCTTGGCCTGCTGTGTTCATCCAGCTCTACACCATGTTATCTCAGATTCTCCATCATTGGCAGTTCCTATTATCTCTGCCCAGTAGTATGTATGCATGCATTGCTAGCAGCCTTCCATCCCTCAAGGAGGATGGACACATAGCAAACAATCCATTTCAGGCAGGCTGTCTCCATATGGGGCACCTTTGCTGCTGACCGAAGGGGCAATTCCTCGAGAGCCTGGTTGTGCTACAACTGCTGCATGTTTATGTGCAGTCACTACAGATGATTGTTTTTGGTGTTGGTACCTCTTGCCAAGCCACAAGAGCCACTGATCACCCTGGTGCTGCACACCAGGGCGCAGGTGGTGTCACCACCTGGTGTCAACTAGTGACCTCCAGGCACGACAACTAATGTTTGGGGAACTAAAAGTCTCACATGCAATCATCTTAGAAGTAAAAGTTTGGCATTCCTACTGTTCAGGTGGCCACAACTCGTTCACCAGACAGAAGGTCCTTGGGCATACAGCCATCATCCATCCTGTGGACGCCGAAGCCACAAAGTTGCCTGCATTATGAGCATTAAAATATTCTGGAACTCTTCATACATTTGTGATTTTGTACACCAGAATATTGTCTGTGTGTCACATATAGCAAAGATACATATTGTTGAGCTTTTTCTTGATAGATCACACGACGTAGGAGCAGAAATAAGCCATTCAGCCCACTATATTGCTCCATTATTCAATGAGATCATGGTTGATCTGATAAACCTCAACTCCACTTTCCTGTCTTTTCCCAATAACCCCCGATTTCCTTACCAATAAAAGTCAGCTTATTTCAGCTTTGAATATAATTAACACCACAGCTTCTACAGCCCTTTGTGGTAAGGAATTCCACAGATTCACTACAACCAGTGAAGAAATTCCTCATCTGTCTAAAATGGATGACTCCTTGCTCAGGTTATATCCTCTGGTCACAGACTCTCCCACATTGGCAAACAACCTTTCTGCCTCTACCCTGTCGATTCCCCAAGAATCTATGTTTCACTAAGGTGCTGCTCATTCTTCTAAACTCCACTGCGTACAGGCCCAACCTGCTCAACATCTCCTCATAGAACAGTCTCTCCACACTTGGTGTCAGTCTAGAGAACCTTCTTTGGACTCCTCCAAATGCCAGTACATCTTCCCTTAGATAAAGGTGCCCAAAACTGTTCACAGTATTCCAGCTATGATCTGACTAGTTTGTATGGTACAATCTGCCCATGTACCATGCAAAACAACACTTTTCACTATATCTCGGAACATATGATAGCAATAAATCAATCATATACTTTTAGCGACACCTATTTTTACACTCTATTCCCTTTGAAATAAATGCCAACATTCCATTTGCCTTCCCTATTAAGGCACAAGTCATCCAGACATCACAATCATACAGCAATGTGCTGAGAATACAGGCCTTAGAAACTATCAACTGGGTCCTAAGGGTCAGTTTACTGTAATTTTATCTGCATTTCCCTACACGAATTAAATTACAAGATAGGAGAAGTAGACTATTCTTCCCCGTCAGCCTGGTCTGCTGTTCAATAAGATCATGGCTGATGTGTTTGTATAGAAGTCCACATTCTGTTCTACTCACAACTACCTGATTCTGCTGCCTAATAAAAACCTATCCATCTGTCTTAACCTATACAATGCCTCCACCTCCATTGCACTCTGAAGAAAAGTTCCAAAGACTCCCAAACTTCATGAAAACATTTCTCTTCATCTGTCTTGAAAGGGCACCCCCCATGTATGTTTCACATTCTGCATTAAGATCAAATAGCCTGTCACCAAGGACCCAAGGTCAGAAATCACACAACACCAGGTTATAGTCCAACAGGTTTATTTGAAAACATAAGCTTTGAGTCTCGCTCCTTCTTCAGGTGTTAGTGAGAGGGGTGGCATCAGAAACAGAATTTATAAGCAAAAGATCAAAGGGTCATAAGAACTGATGTGAATGTCCTGAACAAACCTAAGATGGCTGTTAAATCTTTGATCAGATCAAAAGGAGATGCAGATTTTGACTGATTAATATGGAAATCCCAGAATTTCTTTCAAATCACTGCCCCGAGATGATAACTAAAGGTTTTATCAGTATAGCAGAGGTGACATCTCAAGTCAGACTATCCAACCTGAGATGTCACCTCTGCTATACTGATTAAACTTTTAGTTTTCTTGGGGCAGTGACTTGAAAGAAATTCTGGGATTTGCATATTATTGAGTCAAACCTGCATCTCATTTCTAACTGATTAAAGATTTAACAGCCATCTTAGGTTTGTTCAGGACATTCGCATCAGTTCTATGACCCTTTGATCTTTTGCTTATAAATTCTGTGTCTAATGCCACCTCTCTCTCTAACACCTGAAGGAGGAGTGAGGTTCCGAAAGCTTTCAAATAAACCTGTTGGGACTACAACCCGATGGCGTATGATTTTTGACCTCATCCAGCCCAGTCTAACTCCAGCATCTCCACACCAAGGACCCAAGGTAGTAGTATCTGCTTAGGTATAATTTAGTGTGATTAGGCAGAGATGCAACACGTTGTTCCATGATCTCAGCTTTCATGATGCTAACAGTCAAGGAGTGCAGGTTACAGGCATTAGAGAAAATGCCCAGTTTTTGTAGCTGAGTTTCCCTGTGATGAACACGTGCAGTACCAGCGTAGAGTCAGTCCTACTGGTCCACACCAACCATGTTCCCAAACCAAACTTATCCCACTTCACTGCATTTGCTCCATATCCCTTCAAACCTTACCTATTCAAGTACTTATCCAAACATCTTTTAAAATGTTGTAACTATACTTGCATCCACCACTTCCTCTGGCAGTTCATTCCACACACGAACCTCTGTTAAAAATCATTGTCCCTCATGTCCATTTTAAAACTTTCTCTCTCCACCCTAGCGAAAAAGACCTTTGCTATTCACCTTATCTATACCGCTCATGATTTTATAAACTGCTACAAGTTCACTGCTCAACCTCCTACTCTCCAGTGAAAAATGTCCAGGCCTATTTTCATAACTCAAGGCCTCTATTCCCAGCAACATCCTGGTAAACTCCTCAGACACTGAAGCACTCCATGTTCAAATGCAACAAGGTCTGGACAATATCCAGGATTGGGCTGACAAGCGGCAAGAAACATTCACACCACACAATTGCCAGGCTATGACCCTCACCAATAAGAGACAATCTAACCACCGCCCTCTACCATCACTTTACCATCACCGAATTCCCTACTATCTACATCATGGGTGTCACCATTGACCAGAAACTGTGATGGATTTTTGACCTCACTTCAGTGGGCTGGGCAGGGCAGTGGAAGAGGACAGCAGATGGGAGGAAGTGGGGGCGTCCACTCAACACTGGGGAAAGGGGCACAGTGTGGAGGAGGGCAGTGCACCATGGAGGCAGGTGTTTGGGGGGGGGGGGGGGGGG